GGATAGTGTTTTCTATTTCCATCCATTTGCATGCAAAATTCGAGAAGTCATTGTTTTTTACCGCAGCGTAGTACTCTAATGTGTAGATATTCCATACTTTCTTCATCCATTCTTCCATTGAAGGGCATCTAGGTTGTTTCCAAGTTCTGGCTATTACAAATAATACTGCTATGAACATAGTTGAACAAATGCTTTTGTCATATGATAGGGCATCTCTTGGGTATATTCCCAAGAGTGGTATTGCTGGGTCCAGGGGTAGGTTGATCCCGAATTTCCTGAGAAACCGAAACACTGACTTCCATAGTGGTTGCACAAGATTGCATTCCCACCAGCAATGGATGAGGGCACCCCTTCCTCGACAGCCTCTCCAGCAAAGGTTATCGTTGGTGTTTTTGACTTTAGCCATTCTGACAGGTGTAAGATGATATCTCAAAGTTGTTTTGATTTGCATTTCCCTGATTGCTAAGAAAGTTGAGCATGACCTTAAGTGTCTTTTGGCCATTTGAACTTCTTCTGTTGAGAATTCTCTGTTCAGATCAGTGCCCCATTTTTTAATTGGGTTAATTAGCATTTTAAAGTCTAGTTTCTTGAGTTCTCTATATATTTTGGAGATCAGACCTTTGTCTGTTGCGGGGTTGGTGAAGATCTTCTCCCAGTCAGTAGGTTGCCTTTGTGTCTTAGTGACAGTGTCCTTTGCTTTACAGAAGCTTCTCAGTTTTAGTAGGTCCCATTTATTCAATGTTGCCCTTAATGTCTGTGCTTTTGGGGTTATACCTAGGAAGTGATCTCCTGTGCCCATCTGTTGTAGGGTATTTCCCACTTTCTCTTCTATCAGGTTCAGTGTGTTCGGGCTGATATTGAGGTCTTTAATCCATTTGGACTTGAGTTTTGTGCACGGTGAAAGATGTGGGTCTATTTTCATTCTTCTACAGGTTGACATCCAGTTGTGCCAGCACCATTTGTTGAAGATGCTGTCTTTCTTCCATTGTATACTTTTAGCTCCTTTATCAAAAATGAGGTGTTCATAGGTTTGTGGGTTAAACTCTATTTCTTTTTTTGAAGTTGTAATATAATTCCATCATTTTATACCTTACTTTTCTTCCCTATAAACTTTCATAAACAACTTTTCTGGGTTTTTCAAATCTATAGCCTCTTTGTTCATTAAAACTTATTACATGCATATATATATATATATATATATATATATATATATATATATATATATTTCTCAGTCTTTATAATGTTACTTGTGTATATTTGTTCAGGTTTACATTTGGTGTTGGGTAATCAATGGATGTGCTCTTCCATGGAGAAAACTATTTCTCCCACTCACAGCCTTTACTCATTCCATGTAGATTTTTGTATAAGACTTATGGTTTCTTCTTGGACCATTTTTGCATGACTATTATCATTTACCTGTTCAGTTCATTTTTCATCAGACATATTGCTAAGACTTATGGGTGTAGCTGCTGACAATATTACGAGACACATTTGGAGCGAAATCTCTGATACTCTGCCCTTTACAATCTTAGGACTCTATGTTGTGCATGTTCTCTGAGCCTTAGATGTGGGACTTGTTTTGTAGTTGTGTCAGATGTGACTGGGCTCCAATATTCTGACATTTTTTTTTCAAACAGAAACTCCTCCTGGCCAGAACTAATTCTTGAGGGTACTGAACAGACTGCCTAATAGTTCTGAACACAATCAAACAGAAGAATATAAAATATATTTCTCTTCTGCCTAGTAGGATAGAAAACCTTATCCAAACTTAGGTTAATCTACAGGAATCTCTGGGATATTTATGGAAATGAAGTATTACTTCCCTGTAACTCTGAGAATCTGAATTGGGAAATGGAATCCATATCATAGCATATGTGAAAATAAAAGGATTAGCTAGCTTAAGTTCATAGTACTGAAATTCTTTCCTATGAATAAAGCTTCTCCTGGTGTGGGAAGTCCTTCTGTCTGTGTGATGCTTTTATTGGTTAATGAATAAAGAAGCCGTTTTGGCCTGTGATAAGACAGAATAAAGGTAGGCAGGCAGAACTAAACTGAATGCTGGTGGAAAGAAGGCTGAGTCAGGAAGAAGCCATGTAGTCCAACTGGAGACAGACACCAGACAGGACCATACTGGTAAGCCACCATCACGTGGCAATATACAGATTAATGGAGATGGATTAATTTAAGATATGAGAATAAGCCAGAAATACACTTAAGCTATTGGCCAAATGTATTACAAATAATATAGTTTCTGAGTGATTATTTTATAGTCTGGGTAGCCAGGACTGAACAAGCAGCCTCCAACCACATCCTCCATCTATTAAAAACACATGGAAAGTCATGTCATGCATAATTATTCATGCCTTAAATTCCAGAACTCGGTAGGTATAGACATGTAGATCTCTGAGAGTTCAAAGTCAACCTAGTCAACATAGTGAAATTTAGGATAGTTTGGCTATCAATTGAGATTCTGTCTCATTGACAAAACAAAAACAATAAAATGAAGTTACCCAAAAAGGTGGAGCATGAATGGTGATTCACACTTGTAATCCCAACATGAGGGATGCAGAAGCATTTGGATATTTTTAGGCCAGCACAGTCTACATGGTGAGTTCCAGGACAGCCAGGAATACATATGGAGAGCCTGTCTTACACATCATCAAGCGCAAACATGTTACCAGAAAATGCATAACACATGGACCTACACATTAGAATAGTACATGAGTGTGTCAGGAAGGCTATAATATCCAGGTCAATTAAAAACTCTCTTCACTTTCATTTTACATGTGTGGGTGTTGGTGTTTTGCCTGAATATATATCTCTGGTGCACATGTTTGCACTGCCCAAAGAGATCACAAGAGGGCATAATATCTTCTGCAACTGGAGTCACAGATGGCTGTGAGCCCCCATTTGCCTGAGTGTACTGCAACCTGGGTACTCTCCAAGAGCAATCAAACAGTAAAAATTTTACTAAAATATCTGAGTAATGTGTCCCAGTGTTGCATCATTTGTACTTTGAATTATGCCTTGCAGAATATTCCATGGTCAGTGGTTGCTCTGTACTGTCAGCAGAGGTTATCATTTCTAATGGGAGCAGCATTCATTAACCACCTGATAAATGAACATTTATACTTTTGTACACGCACTCCAGGTATTTCTGGTTCCTAACTATGTGGAAAGATGCTCATATATATGTACGTGTTACATCATTTATACAAGGTTCACATTTTTATTTGAAATATTGTAGTAATTTAGTTTTATATGCATAGTTTTGTTTTAAATTCTTCTCTGAGATAATTGTATTCCTGGAAGTATGTCTTAAGTTCAGCCCAAGTTGAGGGCTGCAAGCATCAAGAATGAAGCATTTGCAGACTTAATGGTAAATATGCATATAACCCTTAAGGACCCTATTGACTGAAGAGGAGTGGGCAGGTAATTCTGTTAGTGAGATCTCTGAAAGCTTTTTAGAAAATAGAGGTGCAGGAAACAAAAAGACTTGTTGTTTTTAGGGCGCATCCCTCAATAATTTTAAAGTAAAGTGAATGGATGATGAATGCTTTATTAGTCAATTCTTGATGAGAGTGAAGTCTATTTGTGTGGGAGACTGGTGAGATTAGAGGCAGGCACATGCAGAATGTTTTTGTGCATATTTGGCTGGAGTGGATAAGTATGTCTCCTGAGTTGGAGAAGTGTGTTCATGGAAGTGTGATATCTCACAATTAATTATTGAAAAGGCCAAGCTGTGTGGCATAATAACCAGGCTAGCTTAATGTGAAATAGTAAACTTTAATGAGGGAATAGCTTATGACACTAGGGATCCAGTGATGAACAGGAAGTACAAAAAGGGACCGGCGGGGCTCACACCCGCCAGATTTATGCCTAAACATTAGCCCAAGGCTAACACATCCCCTTGGGCTGGGTGTCCCCTACACAGGACTCTTTCTTAGTTGCTGGAATTTGCTTGTAATCCATTATACCTTGTTTTCTAGATCTTGTCACATCTCAGATTGATTTGCAAACCATATTCTCTCTCTCTCTCTCTCTATATATATATATATATATATATATATATATATATATATATCTCACTTCTGCTTTTTACCACAGCACCACTCTGTATGTTCATGAAACTTTTTCATACCAGTTTTGCCAGATGTTTGGTTCTCAACTTGTCTCTATTTGACCCTATTTAGAAAAAAAGTTGCTAATCACATTCACCTGCTTAGGGCTTCCATATCTGAAATGGCACAGATCACCTGACAGACTTCATCAGTCCTAAGTTCTAAGGAACATGCTTCTGTTGAGAAAGTCCAGAGATCTGGAGAAAATGAATTTCAGCCTAACGATGGGCTGGATCCTCTTTACAAGAACTGTCAGAAATAGAAAATTGAGGTTAGGCTATCACCAAACTCTTTGATTTAATAACCCCAAGCCTCTCCAAATGCCTATCCTTCTCATGATCTCCTAATGGGTATTGTACCCAAAGCCATTAACAAGCACATATATCATAACACCTGGCTCTAGGCCAAGGAATTTGGCTTTTATCTGCTGATAAAAGGACCATAGCCGTGATGTACATCATATTCTATCCCATGATTGTGTGCCTCTTCTATCTTTATGCGTGTGCATGTGCATGTGTGTTTCCAACTTAGGGTGCATCTACACAGCCCCGACAGACCTCTGACTTGTCACTGCTCTTGCCTCAGTATATTGATTCAAGGTTTGGACCATCATATTGTTTCTAGGACTGTTTTTTCTAAATATCTGAGGGATCATCTGGCCTCATGTGACTCCAACCAGACATGTCAAGAGTGAATCACATCTTCACTCACAACCTTCAAGCCTGAGTGAGCTCTGCTGATTCTCCAGGGGAAATTTTTTATTACTACCTGTATAAGAGCTTCCTTTTCCCTTTTTGACCCCAGAGAGGCTCCTGATATGGCTGCTTGGTTTAAGGTCATTTTGGAGTGAGGAAAAGAGCCAGAGGTAATGGCTGTACCATGGACAGCAGCAGACCCCTCCCTGGACATTCTATTGTATCCTGGAGAGCCCTGATTCTCTGTGATGTCATCAGTGTTGTGGCAACACCAACTGCCTGTGGGGCATCTGTTCATTGCCTACGGGTTTGGGACGTAGCCATGTTGGCAAGACTGAGCAGGCTCCTTGGGAGACAGAAAGGAGAACATAACAAGACTAGAGGGAGGCAGAAGGAAGATGGCCCTCAACCTCAGTGTTGCACATCAAGACATAAATGGTTCTGGGGAAAATGCAGTGAGTCCTGGGGAGGGAGTGGGGAGTTTCTTGATGGTGGAAGGCTTCAGCTTGGTTTTTCATAGTGAGTCACAGGATCTTAGAGCTTCATGGAGGTAATGAATCTATCCTGCTTCTCTCTGTTACTAAAGAGTAGACCTGGAGTTTAGGGTTTCTGATGCTTAGATTGGCAGAGAGCCAGTAATGGTCAACCCTGTAGCTGCTGTGCTAGGGCCCTCTGCTTTGACTCTGAGTGGAAGGAAGGAGAGAGGGATGAATGAGGTTTCAGTTACAGCACTGAGCTTCACCCACACTGGATTTCTTTTGGTTGTGGGTCACTAAAAACAGGGAGAGTAAAATCCTCTGGCCAAAGCTGGAGGATCTCAAATTTTACCTCACATCCACTTGCAGGGTAGGAACCATTGGGTATTGCTGCATGTCAGTGACCCCTAAGGTTTCTGAGTTCCTGAATCTCAATAGCCAGTCATCTTTAACATGACTTTAACTTTAACTTGAGTGCAGGAATGAGCCATCACTCTCCCTGCAAGTGTCTGTTCTTGGTGAGTGAGGGCTCACCTGTGGATGCCCTTAGGTGTCTCCAGTCTGTCCTGTCACTAGTGATCTCACTTTTGCTAACATCATTATGGATGGAATGTATTCTGCTGAAGTTTGGGGAAAATTTTCATCATTACCCATGTGACTCATCTTTGGTCTGACGGGTCACCCACAATCTCCATCACCCCCACACACTGTAACAGCCCCGTGGATATTTTCTGAGGTACTCATTCACTTCATGAAACTGAACTTCATTCCACATCAACATGAGCTAATTTCGTAGTATCCTTCACTTCCCATCTTTTTGATTGGGAGGGGAAGAGCCATTCCTTGGGAATGTTTAGAAAATGAGTCTTGACCTCCATAAATGATGAAGTATTAAATTATAATTAATTAGAGTCTAACTATCAGAGAGCTGCTGACGAGCTTCCCCTGTGTCTCAGGGAAGGCACCTGAAAAAGCCAGCTTGGCTTTTGGTGAACTGGGGAAGAGACGGTTATGAGATAAGTGATGGCAGTTGGCAGTGACCCTAACAGTCTGTTCTCTGGACATTCTTTTGTATCCTAAAGAGTCGTTGGCATCTTTTTTTGAATGCAACAGTGTTGTGTTCTTGGGGCACTCATTATGTGTTGAAATAGGAGTGGCAGGACTGAGTCCCTGGCACCCAGCTGCCCGCACGGCTAGCTTTACCCAAAATAATTACACGGAAACTGTATTCTTTTAAACACTGCCTGACCCTTTAGTTTCAGTTTCTTATTGGCTAGCTCTTACATATCGATCTAACCCATTTCTATTAATCTGTGTAGCCCACAAGCTGGCTTACCAGGAAAGATCTTAACCTGCATCTGCCTGGAGTGGGAGAATCATGGCAACTCCTGATTCAGCTTCTTTCTCCCAGCATTCTGTTCTGTTTTCTCCGCCTACCTAAGGGTTGGTCTATCAAATGGGTCTAGGCAGTTTCTTTATTAATAAGAAATCACTCCCACATCAATTACGTGCATATAGGGTTCACGAGAAGAGACAATGGCAAGATTGAGCACACTGGTTGGCAGAGAGATCTGACTTTCGAAGGAGGAGGTTGGGGGTTGAGTTGGACCTTACGGAAATGGGGTTTAGTAGCTGGGATCTTGGAAGAGATGGTTCTATATTGCTTCTCTGGGTTACTAAAGTGCAGACCCATAGTAAGGATTGCTGCTAGTTAGTTTGGCAGAGATCCAGGAGTTGTCAAGGTTATAGCTGCTGTTCTGTGAGTTCCTTAATTTTATTTTGAGTGGCAAAGACCAGCTGGAGGCACAGACTAATGGGGTGTGAGAGTAAGTTGTTGCTACAACTCATCATCAGTGATTTCTTTAGGTTCTGTGAGTATCTCATGGGAAATTCCCCATCTATGCACCAGGGTCTCAGACATTCAGTTACTTCTATTCCAGGCCACACTAAGAGACTGAGAGTCTCTAAGCACTGGAGACCCCAGGAATTTTCTGTATCATATCAGAAATGAGTTGATATTATCAAAGCAGCATGGCTGGGTGACATATGCCTTTCAGGGCCAGAGGGGCAGCAGCAGGGGCTGATACACATAGCTAGCCACAGTGAGTGGAGACAGAGGCATGGCTCATGTGATCCCAGTTTGAGGACAGTTGTCCTGATCCTTCACTGTGTTCCATGCATTCACTCTTCCTTGGCCTCTTCTTCGAACTCAACATGATCTCTCCTGGTCCTGTGCCATACTACTGCATAAATTCACTAATATTTATCTACCTGCAGGGAGTACTGGAAAAACATCAACTCCAAACGCCGTTACTGGGCAGGAGCAGCGGATGAACAAGGTGGCTACACTGACCCTGCAGCTTCAGATGATGACCCAAGAAAGGAATGAACTTCGTGGGATTCTGGCTAATTATACCAACAAGGATTTGAACAACAGGTAGCCTTTTGGTCTAGTTCCTGGGTAACTGTCTTGACCCTACCGAGTCAACCCCAGCATTCCTCAGGTCACTGGAGGCTGCACCTCCAGAGTGTTCTGCCTAAACTAAATATCCTGAGGGCATCTGAGAGGCATAGCTGAAATCTGGGAAGGAGTGATATCAGGACACAGGCTGTGTGATTCCTCTAAATGAAAAGCAGAGCCTGTGGCCTGGATCAGTCTGGGGATGGGGCAATAGTTTGTGAGCTCTCAGCATACATTTCATGAGGCCTTGACAGGTGTTGGCTTGTGGACGATGCTAGGTGCTGTGAGTTTATGGTGAGTCTTTGTGCTTAACCAGGAGGTGCCTGAGTACTGGCTGCTCCTGGGAGCAGCTGCAGGGGCCTAGTCGTCTTGGTGCCTCTCAGTGTGTGACTTGAGGTCTGAACTTCCTCACTGCTCCTCTCTAGTCTGGTTTCTTATATTCTGAGATAATTCTGCCTGCCTACATTTATTTGGCATCCTCAGTGTGTGTGTGTGTGTGTGTGTGTGTGTGTGTGTGTGTGTGTGTGTGTGTCCTAGCAGTTGGGGGTCAGTGGCATGTGGTTCTTTCTGTGCCACAGTTTCCAGGTGATCCCACTAAGTTCCCTTAGGGTCAGGGAACTCGACTATGACCAGTGATGGTGCTCCTGGCCCGTGTGCTCACCTTGGCAGCCCATTGGAATCCACTGGAGACTTATATATCTATCCTTAAGTCAGGTCTGCTCGCTGGAAACACTGATTTTGTGCTTTAGACATCCATGTAGCAATAGGAACCTGGGATCAAAAATCCCCGTTCTGAAGACAGGAAAAACATTGTCATAGATTTCTGGTGGGATCAGACTTGTGACACAGGCTCCCCAGGACTTAACTATTCTATTCCTCCAGGCCCATTAATGGAACTCATGCAGCTCTGGATCACTCCCTTTGCACCCCTGACTGCTGGTCTGGGGCCAGGTCAGCAAGTTTAAACAGCACCAGGTTGTTTTGGTTCATAGCTCTCAGAATGTCACATTGACTGTGCTGGGTGTTCAGGGCACAGCCTGAAATCATAGGATCATTAAGGCCAGAATTCACGGGGTTCTTTGCCCTGGGGCTATGCCCTAATACAGGCTAAATTTTGAGTTGGAGATGCTGAATATGGAGCATAAGAAAGTGATGTTGGATCTACAGAAATTCCCCATGGAGATGAGAGAGGCCTTGTACAAGTGCAAGGAGCTGACTGAGGAAGCTGTCTCTTACAGGTGAGTGACTGCCTTCACTGGGACTCTATTCCTTGGCAGTGACTGCTTTTGCCATGTTTTTGTCTTTGAACCAAAGTGAGGACTTTCCTTTTGGCCTGTCTCCCTATAAAAAGCATTCTGTCTTATTCTCTTGACTTGGACCTACTGGACTAGTTTTGCTAAGACTGAAGTATCTGTGAGCCAATCACAACATTGTCCTGCCAGCCCCAGGAGCCTCTAGATAGAAAATCTATTTGTACCATGATAAAGGTGTCAGGCATTTGTGGGTCTTGGGGGCTCTGGTAGGGGTTTACAGAGGTGATCCCATCCTACCCATACATAGAATATATTTCAATAGGGTCTGCTGTCCTCCCTCACAGAATGTTTGTCTTCTACCTCTCAACCTGCTGATGCTTTCCCAGTACCGTGGACAGTTAAGTACATGTGGTAGGAGGCAAACCCTGCTCTCAGAAGTACATGCATTTCTTTTATTATAACAGTTTTCAAATGCAGTCTGAGTCTTTCTGTAATTTGGCCATTCTCTGACATTTGACAGCCATTAGGGTATCCTGGCATGGTGACTGTGGGCTCTGGTCTAGGACTGTCTGGGGACATGGGAGTTTGCATGGGTGATGTGGGAGATGGAGGCTAGGTAGGTCTCATGTTGTTTTTGTGATGGTTCAGCATCCTCCACAACCAGCTCCTGAGTGAGCGAACTCAGCTGAAGAAAAAAGTGAGCATGTTGAGAGAGGAGAACCAAAAGCTACGGAGGGAGCAGATTTCACTGCTAGTGGCCTGTGAGAAGGTGAAGAATCTCTATGAAAAGACCGATGAGAAGTTCTGTGAGCTATGTGACGAGGGGGATAAGGTAGGCTGCAGCAATGTGGGCAGGCTGTCCACCATCAGTAGTAATACACACACACACACACACACACACACACACACACACACACACGATCATCCACCCACTTTTCCAGTAGCTCACTAACATTCTGTCCAATTGTTGATTTCTGTGATTATTCCAAGACTTTCTAAGGATTTAGCATCTTGTGAGATCAATGGCTGGAAACAGCTTTGAAGGAAAAAATCCCCGTGCAAATGTCAAAGGGGTGGTTCTTGTCTACATTTTTTATCTTCTCTCATGTTTCATCAGTTCAACCTCCTTCCCTCCTCCCAGTCATTCACCCCCTGCTCCCCGGACCCCGGGTCCACTCCTCCTTAATTTCCCTTCAGAAAATAGCAGTTCTCCCATGGTTATTTGATCTAATTATTAAAATAACATTAAACCTGGGCTTTGCTCATGTTTGTTACACATTCTAACAATGAGATATATCACCAAAACCTTTTAAAGTCTTGAGATATGATCACACTACATTCCAAAGATTAGCTTTCAACTCACAGTGGATTTCAGTCCAGACTTTAATGTTCAGTCCTTCTGTCTCATTCTCTGAGTAGCTAGGATTAAGGGTTTGCATCACAAGCTCAAACTTAGTCTAAATACTTAAATTAAAATTGATGCTTAAACCAAAAGTCCAAGGTCAGTAGATTATACGTTTGTGCTTTTTTTGTTTTTGTTTTTTTGTTTTTTATTTCTTTTGGTTTTTTCGAAACAGGGTTTCTCTGTGGTTTTGGAGCCTGTCCTGGAACTAGCTCTTGTAGATTAGGCTGGTCTCGAACTCACAGAGATCCGCCTGCCTCTGCCTCCCGAGTGCTGGGATTAATGGTGTGCGCCACCACCGCCCAGCTTACATTTGTGTTTTTAAGACATAGATGCTAAATTATAGTCATCTCAAAAGCATCTGTGTAAATACAATTTAAGATGCTTTATCATTAGTAGACAGGTAGCTTTAAGACGAATAACATAAAGGTAGCTTTCATTCATTTAACCATTCAACAGTCTATGTTGGGAGTCCCATAAATGCCAGGAAGTAAGCTTTACCTGCAACAAACAGATAAGATGTCTGTCCTGAAGGAACTGATGAAGTTATTACCTTTAATTCATCTCTTACATTATAGCTGGTGTCTGCTTGGTGCAACCTCCAGCTCTCATTGTGTTTGAGACCTCCAGGAGCAGAGGATTTTCCTGCAGGAGGCAGAATCTAACCCTTACTAAGGATCTGTCCATAAATTTTGCTCTTCACAGAAAAGGCAATTTTACCTCCTTCCCATTAGCCATGGCCTATGAATTCCAACTATAAGTGAAAAATATTATATGCCATCGAATCATAGGGATTCCTGCTCCTTGTTAATATTTTAGAGGAAGAAAATGTTAAGCTCTCCTTTTGGGTAGAGATTACACAGTTAATAACTCTGTTTTAAAGTGTTGTAACTCTTCAACGATTCACATTTTTTTATTGAGTGAATATTTCCTTTTATTGACAATAAATTATTCTCACATACCATAGTTTTCTCTACCGCCACTTCTCTCAGCTCCTATAAACCTCTCTTTTTCCAGATCTGCTACCCTTTGTTTTCATTCCAGAAAAGAACAGGCAAGCATGACAAAACAAGAAAAAGGCCTTCATACAGAGGCTGGACAAAGCTTTCCAATAGGAGGAAAGGCATCCCAAGAGCAGACAAAAGAGTCAGAGACACACCACACCCACTCCCACTATTAAGAGTCCCACCAAAACACCAACATACATGCAGAGAACATGGTGCAGACCCATGCAGGCCCCATACATGACTCTGTGAGCCTATGTGAGCCCTGTTTACTTGATTCAGTGGGCCATGTTCTCCTAGTGTCCTCCAGCCCATCATTCCCGCTTACTCCTAAAATCCGCACCCCCCCCCAAACACTTCTTCCGAAAGGTTTCCTGAGCTCCAAAGGATAGGACTGATAGAAAGTTCAAATTTAGATACTCACTTCCACACAACTACTGCTAGAGAAATACTCTCTGATGAGGACCAGCAAGGCACCAATCTATGAGTATAGCAGAACATTGATAGAAATATTAGTAATCAGTTCATTGATTCTTTTTAGTTATGTTTGCTTCTGTGCTATGTCTCTGGGCTATTTGGTCTCCAGGTTTTAGCCATCCATGGATTATAGGGCATGGACTGCCTCACCTTCATGAGCCTCAAGTTAAGCCAGATATTGTATGGCCACTCTCTCAAGTTCTGCACCAACAGTGCCCCAGCATAACTTGCAGGGAGGACAGACTGTAAGTCAAGGTTTTTGTGGCTGAGTTGATGTCATGTTTCTCTTTCTGTAACCTGCAGAGTATCATCCCATGCCAAAGAGACTAGAGCATATGGGTGAAGGCTCCATGCAGGCAACAGCTTGCTCTCTCTAGGTTCAATGATGTGTAGATGTTGTCCACAACAATGGGACCCCACTGTTAGTTTTCAGAGAGCCACACTCTGTCCTAGCATGAGCCAGAGCTGTATAGGGATCTCCACAGAATCCCCTCCAGCCAAATAGCCAAATATTCAACTGAATGCAATCCAGTCTCATCACTGGAAGCCTTTCTTGGCTACAGAAGATGGTCAGTTCAGACTCTGTATGTTCCACTACTAGGATTCCTCACTAGGATCCCCCATATAGATTACAGGAAGTTTTATCTGTACTAGCTTTCCATAGCAGCCTCTGGGAGCCCCCCAACTCCAAGACTCTCTCTCCACACTCTCTCCCTCCATCCCTCCCCCCTACAGGATCCCTTTCAATTCCCTCCCCACCCAACCAAAGTATACTGGCAAAATCTAATCTATTTTCTTTTCCCAGGGAAATTCTTCTGTTTCCTCTAGTGACCTTCTCTTTACCTAACCTTTCTGGGTTGTGGAAAGTGGCTTGATTATCAATTACTTAACAACTGATGCCCACTTATAAGTAAATACATATAATATGTGTTTTTCAGGATCTCAGATATCTCTGTCAGCATGTGTTTTTTTAGCTCAACCCATTTGCTTATAATAGCAATTGGATATCACTTTTCACACAGCCAAGTAATATTCTCTTCTGTAAATGTACTTCCTGTTCTTTATCCATTCTTTCATTGAGGGACATCAAGGTTGTTTCCAGTTTCTGGTTATTACGAATAAAGCCAGAGTGAAGGTATTTGAGCAAGTGTTCTTGTGATAGGATAGAGCATCCTTTAGATATATGTCCAAGAACGGTGTACCTAGATTTTGAGGTAAATCAGTTCCCAATTTTCTGAGGAATCGCCATGTTGATGCCATAGAGGCTGGACAACTCTGGACTCCCACTACAAATGGAGGAGTGTTTCCTTTGCTACAAATCCACACCACCATAAGCTGTCATTCGTGCCATTGATCTTAGCCATTCTGACAGGTGTAAGGTGGAATCTCAAAGGAGTTTTTGGTTCAAATTCCCCTGAAGGGTAAGAATGTTGAACATTTCTTTAAATGTTTCTCAGCTATTTGTGATTCTTCTTTTTTTTCTGTTTCTATCTGTACCACGTTTCATAATTGAACGATTTGGATGGTTGATGTCTAGTCTATTGAATGCTTTATATATTTTGGATATTAGCCCTCTGTCTGATGTGAGTTGATGAAAATCATTTCCCATTCTGTAAACCTCTATTTTCTCCTACTCATGGTGTTCCTTGCCTTTAAGTTCCCTGAGGTGCTTTATTAAATTGTGGATCTTAGTGCCAGTGTTCTCTTCAGAAATCATCTCCTTTCTGGCATGTTCCAGCTATTCCTTATATTCTCTCCTGTCTCTTTTTGTGTTGAGGTCTTTCTTCATGAAAGGGTCAAAGATTTTTTGGTATCTAGTAGGATGATCACCATATGTTTTTTCTTCATTTTATATGGTAGATTACATTGACTAATTTTCATATGCTGAACTATCCCTACATCTCTAGGTTAAAGACTGCTTGATCATAATAGATGATCTTTTTGAAATATTCTTGGATTTATTTGCAAGTATTTTATTGAGTACTTTTTCATCTATGTCCATTAGGGAAATTGGTGTGTAAGTATCTTTGTTGAGTCTTTCTGTGGTTTGGGTATCAAGGTAACTGTGACCTTATAAAATGATTTGGGCACTGTTTCTTCTGTTTTTATTTTGCAAACTAATTTGAGGAGTATTGCCATTAACTATTCTTTTAAAGTATGGTAGAATTCTGTGCGATAGCCATTTGACCCTGGGTTTTTTTTTGTGGGGTGGAGGGAGGCTTTTAACAATGGCTTCTATTTCACTGGGGAATGTATGTATATTTACTTATCTGATTTTAATTTAACTTTGGTAAATGATTCCTATTGAGAAAATTATTCATTTCTTATAGATATTCCAGTTTGATGAAGTACATGATTTAAAGTATGTCCTTGTGATTCTCTGGATTTCCTCGGTATCCGTTGTTATATCCCCATACGGTTTCTGATTTTATTAATTGGGATATTCTTTGCCCATCTTTATTTAGCTTGGATGAGGGTTTATCTATCTTGTTGGTTTTCTCAAAGAACCAATTCTTTCTTTCACTTATTTTTGTACAATTATCTTTATTTCTATTTTATTGGTTTAGCTGTCAGTTTGATTATTTCTTCTGGTCTAATCCTCTTGGACATATTTCCTTTTGTTCAATAGCTTTGAGGTGTTACTATTAAGTATGATATCTTCCCATTTTTTAATGTAGGCACTTAGTGCTCTTAGCACTACTTTCATTGTGTCCCATAAGTTTGCGTAGGTTATGTATTCATTTTCATTGAATTCTAGAAAGTCTTTAATTTCTTTCTTTCTTTATTTTTTGGTCCACTTTTCATTCAATATAGAGATCTTCAATTTCCATGAACTTATATATGCTTTCCTTTCTTTAATTGTTGATATACAGTTGTATTCTCTAATTGTCTGATAAATATCTGTTAAGTTTATTTGTTTTAAAACATCAGTTAATCCAGAGTTTATTAATTTTTGTCTGCATGACCTGCACACTGATGACATGCACATTGGTGAGACTGAGATTAATATTGGTAATAATTTCCATATTAGCATGTGGAAATCAATATGTGTTTTAAGCTATTGTAATGTTTATCTTAAAAATTTACTTAGGGCATAGATGTTAAGAATTGAAATGATGGCCAGGTGGTGGTGCTGCAGACTTTTAATCCCAGGTCTTGAAAAACAGAGGGAAGCAGATGTCCTTGTGCTCAAGGCGAGCCTAGTCTACAAGAGCTAGTTCCAGGACAAGCTCCAAAGCTATGGAAAAACACTGTCTCAAAAAATTTTAAAAAAATTAAAATGTTATCTTTGTGGTGTGTAATTCCCCATGTCTTTTGATTAATTTTGGTTTGAGGTTGATTTTGTAAGGTATTAAAATAGCTACACCAGCTTATCATTTAGGTACATTTGCTTGGATGATTTTTTTCCAATTCTTTACCCAGAGGTAATGTCTATAATTGATGTTGAAGTTTGTTTCTTGTATGCAGAGGAAAAATGGATCCTGTTTGTGCGTCCATTCTGTCATTCTGTGTATTTATATTAAGGAAATGAGACCATTGATACAGAGAAATATCAAATGATTAATTCTTGTTATTTTGCTGAATGTGTATGTTCTTGTACATGTATATCCAGAAGTGTGCGTTGAGGAGTGAGTGAGTGTGTGTGTGTGTGTGTGTGTGTGTGTGCATTTGAGTGTTCAACCCTCCACTAAGAACATAATCTTCTAATGAACAGAAACAGGATATATTGGTGGAAAGACGACAATTCGTGCTGAAGCTGAGGGATCTGGTCACCAAACATATAGAAATGGCAGAAAAGCTGCAGAATCCCTTCGCTGTCTCCCAGATGAGGTAGGATCCCAGGCCACGAAGAGGGAGTTATATCAAGTAGTTCCCAGTACCTGAATCTCTGTCCTATTTGGGTTCCTGGACATTTGCATGACTTTCATTCAAAGCCAGGAAAAGAACATCTGAGAGTATTGGGCTGGCTCAGTCAACAGAAATGTATGCACAGGAAGCAATATGTGTTATCTTTAATCTTTCTCAATTGTGTGCACGTCTTCAATTCTGAGTGCTCTCGTGTGTTCTGAGTGCATTGATCCTTCCTATGGTAGTCCCAGACCTAATAGAGGCAGTGTTAATTGTGGAAGACGGTGTCTCCTCCTGCCACTTTATTTTCCTCCAGGAGTATCACCTTTAGAGACAAATTCCTTCACTTGGTCAGATTAGCAGACAGCACCTTCTTATTGATTATGAGTTCTCTGCAGTTTGCATCTGTTTCCTGTAAGAAGGTTTCTCTGGAATTAAAATCACATTTAGAATTTGACATGTTGAATCCAAGGAAGTTTCTGTGCTGAAGGAATAAGCCCAGCCTTCACTGCAGTGTTGTGTTTGCTCCTCTTGAGGGCCTCATACAGTTAATTTCCCAGGTCGCTCACAGTTTCCTGGCATCTGTTCAAGGCCTGTAACCCAGACATTGCTATACTGCTGTTTTTTTCAAAAGAATGTATCTAAACTATTGGAGTAATGGGCTATTTTTCTAGTTCACCACAGTGTGTATTTCTCAGCTCACTTTCTAGCAGTTTTAAACGTGGAGAATAAAAGAAACTCAGGTGCTGTCTTATCCTTGAAGAAGCAAGGAGTGAATGAGCCCAGCTCAAATGTAATGCTGGATTTCCCAGTTGAGTAGAGCTGGTGGGAGCTCAAAAGCTGACAGGGGAGGTCCTTATCAGACCTGTGTCCCAGCTGTTTTCCTCCCCTAATATGAAAACCTCCAGCATGATCTGGCCACAGTCCAGGATGAGAGCCTCCTGCAGACAGACCTGCTGCAGCAGGAGCCCTGAGTGTGCTAGGCCAATGAGCCACCATTGATTGACTCCTGTCCCCTGCTACCTTGGCATTCATGGGGTGGGTTTTCTTCCTTGTTGTTTGTTTCCCATGTGTGGACAGTCCCTGGTTTTGTCTAGGCTGTGGTCCAATGAGGCTTCCTATGCATCTGATTGCCTTTCCTTCTCTGACAGCTCCGCTTTGGAGAACTGAGGAGGCTGAAGGAAGCTTCACACATTCTCCACTCGAGCAGCAACACCTACTGAGAAGCAGACCCCTCCTTGTAGCTGTGAACAAACGAGTAAGAAAAATCTCCACCTCCTGCAGCAAATCCATCGTCAATCTGATTCATGTTCTGTTGGCCCACTATTCCTGGAGAAATGAAATCACGAGAAAGAAGCCTGACATTCAGAGGACCCACCAAGAATGACTCCAAATCCCGACATTGGTCAGCAGGTGAACCCTGAGTGGCACACAGCAGCATGGAGAGGATATGCTGCTGAGCAAGGCTTCCTCTGCCAGTTTACTCTCCATGTCTTTAGTAAGCCGGCTGAGCCCTCCATATGTGGTGAGGACTCTCACGAGAAAGACTGTACTGATGCCATGCTGTAGTCTGTACACACCACAGGGAAAAGAACAGGATTCCCTCTCCTGTGAGTGCTGAGGGAGACTCCATGTCACAGGAAAGTGTTGGTGAAGATAACGCAGTACAGAGACTACAGCATCCCTCACCTGTGTTAGTCATTGATCATCCATAAAGAAAATGTCAGGGGATTCTCCAGTTTCACATCCTGGACTGGCATGTCAGTCCTGAGAAAGGGTCTGTAGAGGAGGTTTGGTCACCTTTGGTGTCTTTAGGGAGCCAGATGCTCTCGATTGATTTTTTGGATCTAGAGCTAGAGACTATTTTTAGCTTAATTTGGGGGAGAGGTTCTGGTTTTGGTTTGGGTTTTGGTTGCCTGGGTATTTTTTTTTCTTTGCTTTGGTTTAAATTTTGTTGTTGGTGTTTAAATAATTTAGTCTTGTTGTTTTAATAGTTGGCTAAGGCTCTACCCTGTATATACTGACTACCCTTTCTAAAGTTCCTATTGAGTATAATGAGTATTTTTATGAATAAAATCAATTTTCGACTCCTCAGTTTTACAGCCTTTCTTGAGTCAGATGTGGGGTTGCTCTCCTGTGACTACAGAACTCATGGGCAGAGATGGATTTCAGCATGTTCCAGGAGCCTTGGTTACACGGTGGTTTCGCATCCAGGCAGGTCTACACAGGACTACACAGGAGGGTAGTACCTTGGATGTGGATGGCATGACCTACTCCTGTCTTTACTACCAAGATTTTCTGTTACAGTCAGATTTAAGAGAATGTCATGAAGAAGGGATCTCGAAAGGAAGTAACTCCTCGTTCTGCACTACATTAGTTCTATCCTGGTGTCCAATCACAATTGCATATTGTGATCCTGGGATAGCAAACCACTGAAGGTTGCCTTTGAAATGCATGAGCAAAGGGTGCCCACAGCAGAGGGGAACTGCTGAGCTGCAAGTTTGGATTCTGGAGATGCCTTCCAACCTCTCACTCCTAAACCATGTATATCACATGGGGAAGCTGTAGAGTAAGGGCCTGCTCCAACACTGTCATCTACTTACAGTAGGAATATTGGGAACAGAGTCAGAAGGATTCATTCAAAGCTCTGAAATGGTCCCACCCAATGGTTTATGTCACAAAACAGTTGATAAAATTCCATAAGACTGTTTCATATAGGTTACTCAAAACATCATTTCATCTGCTAAATTTAAGAAGTGTGAGTTTAGGGTTTAGAGAGATTGTTCGGTAGTTAAGGACACTTGGGTTGGTTCCCAGATTCATAAGGGGGCTCACATCCTTTTGAATCTAAAATTCCAGGGGACCCAATACCTTCTGACCTCAGCACCAAGCATGCATGTAGAGCATATACATGCAACGAAAACATTCACACACAGGCATACATGTAAAAATAAATGTGAGTGTTACAAACTAACTTAATGCTACAATGCAGGTGAGAAACCTCATCTACTTTTACTATTAAATAATATCTCCAGCTTTTTCTCAGGCTATCTCAGAATTTAGCATACTACATTTGCATCAAATACCAAGGTTGCTGATTTTATTTTTTCTAATAAGACCCTAGAGTAAAAGCTTGATTATAAATATACAACAGTATAAAAAGTATTTTAAAAAGTACAAGAAAAGGGAGGGGAATGGAGAAAAATGTATAGCTCAAAAAAAAAAAACAATAAAAAAGAAAAAAAGGTACAGTTATCGTAAATGCTTCCTCTTTTTATTCAATGTTAACTTGTAGAGTAGTTTCAATGCTAATTTTCAGTGTGAATTACAATAAAGAGTAGGACAGATCTGAGTCATCAGAACTCCGGTAATGCTGTAGCATTTCAAAATATTTCGCTATCTCTAGCGGAAGGTCATGCTGCTGAATTATGACAAATTGTCATGAGAAGTAATAGTGTACCCAGACATTTTAAAATGCGTAACCACTGCCTCTCCACAGAAAGACTAGACATGTGCTTTATCATACAACAGTCCCAACTCTGTCCCCGGAAATCCTCCTAATTTCATTTATTTGGTGGTGTTAAACAATTAAAAAGACTCTTTACAGCACTTTCCAGCTCTCCTATGAAATACTCAGCATCCTAAATATTCTGTACACTTTTTTCTTGCAGTAAACTAAGCACTGGCTTAGAGTTTGGTGGGTGGGCAGACGGGTATCCAATTTAAAACTGCATTAAAAACTGTCTTTTGGCAGGATGGTAGGTATCCAAGTTAAAAATAGAAAGGTCAGGTGTTGCGGGAGGTCCTCCCACTCCTCCAGCCTATCACCGCTGAGGTACCAGCCCATTGGGGCGTGGTTTCTCTCCCTTTAAAAAAGTGGCCACTTCCCTCTCCTCTCTCTCTTCACTTCCTGCTCCTCCAGCAACTAGACTCCTTTCCTGGTTGCGTAGAGGGCTGTTGCCTGGGACAGTGATCTGTAAGTTTTTTCCCCTTTAAATAAATACCACCCTAATAATCATAACCCCGAATTGGTGTGGCATTGTTTGTGACTTACGCCTTCAGTCAGGGTGTTATTTTGTAGTCTTTTCAAGGTTTAAATTGTTCTTTGTGCCCTTCTACATGATGCTCAGTCACCACTCCTGAGTGGAGATGGGAGAGGCTTCTCATGAGCTGCTTTCTACTGCAGCAGCAAGACTTGAAGACATATGTAACATTGCGGACTTCCCCAATTTGGCCCTTACACAGAATCCCACAACACATTTTCTGTCTTTTCCAGTAGGTAATATACAAAATGTAAAACCTTGAGTATTATTAGAGCTAGAAGTCATCTCTGTATCTGAAATGTCATCTCACTGGTTACTGTAGCAGGGAAACTGAATTGCAGAGCACTTGAACTGTGTTGGGATTTTGATGGGGATTGCATTGAATCTCTAGATGGCGTTTGGTAGGATTGCCATTTTTATTATGCTGATCGTAACTATCCAAGAGCATGGGAATTCTTCTCATTTTCTGGTATCTTCTTCAATTTCTTCAAAGACTTTCTCAAATAGGTCTTTCACTTCTTTGTTTAGGGATACCTCCAAGATATTTTATGTTATTTGTGGCTATTATGAAGGGTGATGTTTCTCTGGTTTCTTTCTTAGCTTCTTTATCATTTGTATATAGGAGGGCTACTGATTTTTCTGAGTTGATCTTGGATCCCCCCACATTACTGAAGGTATTTATCAGCTGTAGAAGTCCCCTAGTAAAGTTTTTTGGGGTCACTTATGTAAACTATCATATCACCTGCAAATAACAAAAGTTTGACTTCTTTCTTTCCAATTTGCATCCCCTTGTTCTTTTTGTTGTTGATGATGATGAATTATTGCTCTAGCCAGAACTTCAAGAACTATGTTGAATAGTTATGAAGAGAGTGGGCAGCCTTGTCTTGTTTCTGATTTTAGTGGAATCGCTTTGAGTTTCTCACCATTAATTTGATGTTGACTATCTGCTTGTTGTCTATTGCTTTTATTGTGTTTAGATATGTTTAAAATCATTTTATTTTGCTTCTTCTGGGGTAGGTTGATCTTAGTCTTCCTGATGTATGGCTACTGGGTTCTGGTGTTACCATGTTGATTTCTAGGCTGTTGGATGAATTCTTGCATTGGTACCTACCCATCTCTTCCTTCAATTGATGCCGTTATTGACTTTACATATTGGTCTAATTCTTACAGTGGCTGTTTGTGTCTTGGAAACTGTTCTTTGTCTGTTCTGTACTGTCACTGTCTGTGTTGCAGGGGTATTTGTGCAGCCTACCTGTAGAAAACTGTCCTGCTGGCTGGCAAGAAAAACTGAGGTAGGTGGCAGAGGCTTCCAGGGATTTGCCCTGGTTTGGAGAGCCTAGATAGTTTGGTGTCCTTCTGGGTGGCTGTCACTCACCTGATTGCTTCTGTATAGTAGCAGGCTGTGTTTCACCTTTCCACTGAGGTTGCATGGGGGATATGGCAGTTTGGGGGCAGGGTGGGATTTGTAGCTTACAGGATCTGATGATCGGGGTGGGGATAATGGAGAAGCCTACTTGCAGGAACCTCTCCTGTCTACTGGCTAATGAAGCAGAGGCAGGTGTGGGAGGGGCCTAGGGTTTTGCCCCAGTATGGAGGTCCTGGAGAGAGGATGTCCTGCCAGCTGGCTGGTCACTCACTTCTTGGTCTTCTCTCTGTAGCAGCAGGCTGGGCTTCATTATGTTCTGATATTTATCTTCTTCTCTCTATTTGCTTTTTTCTCAGGCTACTTCGTCTATAGTTCTCCATATATCTGTTTCTTCTGAGGTCTCTTTGTGCAGATGATATGATAGTTTACATAAGCGACCCCAAAAACTCCACCAAAGAACTCCTACAGCTGATAAATACCTTTAGTAATGAGGCAGGATACAAGATCAACTCTAAAATATCAGTCGCCCTCTTATACACAAAGGATATGGAAGCTGAGAGGGAAATAAGAGAAGCTTCACATTTAATGATAGCCACAAACAGCATAAAATATCTTGGGGTAAATCTAAGCAAGGAAGTGAAAGATCTATTTGACAAGAACTTTAAGGCATTGAAGAAAGAAATTGAAGAGGATACCAGAAAATGGAAGGACCTCCCTTGCTCTTGGATTGGGAGGATCAACATAGTAAAAATGGCAATTCTAACAAAGGCAGTTTATAGATTCAATGCAATCCTCATCAAGATGCCATCAAAATTCTTCACAGATCTTGAGAGGACATAATCAACTTTATATGGAAAAACAAAAAAACCCAGGATAGCCAAAACAATCATATACAATAAAGGATCTTCTGGAGGCATTGCCATCCCTGACTTCAAACTCTATTACAGAGCTACAGTAATGAAAACAGTGTGGTACTGGCATAAAAACAGAGAAGTCGACGAATGAAATCGTATAGAAACCCGGATTTTAACCCACAAACCTATGAACACCTCATTTTCGATAAAGGAGCTAAAAGTATACAATGGAAGAAAGAAAGCATCTTCAACAAATGGTGCTGGCACAACTGGATGTCAACCTGTAGAAGAATGAAAATAGACCCATATCTATCACCATGCACAAAACTCAAGTCCAAATGGATTAAAGACCTCAATATCAATCTGAACACACTGAACCTGATAGAAGAGAAAGTGGGAAGTACCCTACAACATATGGGCACAGGCGATCGCTTCCTATGTATAACCCCAGCAGCACAGACCTTAAGGGCAACATTGAATAAATGGGACCTACTAAAACTGAGAAGCTTCTGTAAAGCAAAGGACTCTGTCACTAAGACAAAAAGGCAACCCACTGACTGGGAGATCTTCACCAACCCCGCAACAGACAAAGGTCTGATCTCCAAAATATATAGAGAACTCAAGAAACTAGACTTTAAAATGCTAATTAACCTTGATTCACTCAGGAAGATTCTTTTGATCAGAGAATTGAGCTTGTTGATATTTAACGGCATTATTATCATATTGTAGGATCTGGATGGGTCAATGGCACCAGAAGAACATTACACATAGAACCAAATGAGCAGGGTCCATCAGAACTCACAGAGAACAAAGTGGCAATCATTGATCCTGCCGTGGATTGGCACTAAGTTTTCGGCATACATATATGTCATGGTTGTTTAGATTGGGTATTTGTAGGACTCCTAGAAGTGGCAGTAGCTGTATTGCTGACTTTTTTGCCTGCTCTTGGGACTCTCTTGCTCCAACTTGTCTCTTCCATGCTTAACATGAAAGTTTGTGTCTTATCTTGTTGCATCTTGATATGCTGTGTTTGGTCCTATCCTTGGGAAGCCTGTTCTTATGTAAACAGAAATGGAGAAACAGTATATCTGGGTGAGGGGAGATGGGGAAAGACTAAGAATGGTGGGATGGGAGGCTGTAGTCAAAATGTCTTGCGTGATAGAAAAGTAAATAAAAAAGAAAACAGAAAATAATAAATAATTATGTTATATTGGTCATCTTGTTGATTTTTGTGTTTTTATTTTCAATGTCATGTTTAAATTCATAAGCACAGCTTTGTTTCCTCTCTATAGTCCCTTCAATATGCTCATTCCTCACTTTAGTCAGAGATGTTTGTTCCGATTATTTCTTTATATTTAGTTGATAGTAATTTACTTCAGGCTGCTTAAAATGTGGCAAAAAGATTCACTGGGAACAGAGAGGCAGGGACAGAGAGATCAAAGGGATCCTGAAGAAATGCTAAAAGTGTTAGTATCTCAGACAGAACCAAGAAGAGCCATGGGGAGTCCCTGGTGTTGCATCAGAAACTATGATGTTCCATTTGGCCCAGGGAAAAGCATGTGCTCCCTTGAGATTTTAACATGCAATCATTTGCCAGGCAAGTGCAAAGAATCACCACCAACTCACAGTAGCCAGCATCTCACATAAACAAACACTTCTCAAGGGCTGTTCAAATACATCCTGGGAGCTCACATATGAATGCCTCAATGCCTGAGTTTTGTGACTCTGGCCACAGGCTCAGGATTTCTACTGGAGATAGTACAATTGTATGAGTACCTATCTCCCTCCTGCCCAGGCATCAGATTTTGCTCTGGGAAGCACTGAGAGACATAAGTTGGGAAACAAAGAAATCCGGTAGGTTTAGCCTCCTAGAACACATGATCTTACAGGAATGAATATGGAGGTGGAAACATGAATGCTAAGGTTTGGGACTGTGTGTGCTGAACTTTTCTTTCAGTTCTGATGGTTTCTCTTATCCTTCAGCCTCAGTTTACAGTCAGTCAACCTGTCAGAAGCTACATGCCCAGAAAGTCACTTGATGGTCTACTCAATACCAGGTTCTTGAATGGGGCCTCCAAACCCCAAATCCAAATATTTGTGTTTATTTGTTCTTTGCCTTTGAGACTCTGGTGCCAAGCCAAGTGCCTGCAAGGGTCAGAACTCAATCTGTGTAATTAACTCATGAATACTTTTAAACCAAATAAAGGAAGAAGAAAAGTGACATCCTTTGTACTAGTGGTAAAGGTAAGAGTAGTGGGCAGGAGGGCACTTGCAGCTTCCCTGGGCCAGCTTTCAATTTGTGAATTAGTCCTTTCAGTCCTAGTGAAGGTGATCTATCCCCAAACAAAACCTGGTCAAAGTGGAGCCTCTCCTGGCTCCTGAGGCCCTTTGTACCTAGTCTTACATGTTAGGTTGATATCCATGGCAAACTAGCTCTTTTCTGAAGAGAAATGGAGGAAGAGTGGATCTGGGGGAGAGGAGGTGAGGACTGGGCAGAGTGGAGGGAGGGGAAATTGTGGTCAAAATGTCCTGTATGAGAGAATGATAATAATTAAAATTCCTGATGAAATCACTGAGAAAATGGCACAGGGTTTCAGGGGTGTGGAAGAGTTGGAAAGAACTCACTGACACTAGAAAACACATTTTAAGATGTGCATCTAAGTAGCACCATGATTGTATGGCCATGATATACAGAATATTTTCCCAAGTGTTTTACCTAAAAGATTTTCAAATGTGCTCTGTACAAAATAGCATGTTAACCCCATGTGTTCTTCCCTACAGGCTTTCTGTCGTCTTTCATGGTACTTTAATTTTATTTTATTCTAATCCATTAAGAATTTTGTGTAATGGCAATAAAAAATAAAGTAAAATAAAGTTAACATCTTTCTTCCTTCCAATATTTATTCAGTAATCTCTACTGGGCACCTGCCTGTGAGAGAACCTAGAGATGGATTAACTGCAGTTGACAAGAACACAGTTCTAGAGCGGCAGAGATGGCTCAGTGGGTAATAGCGCTGGCTTCTCTTGTAGAGGACCTGGGTTCAGTTCCCAGCACTCCCATGGCAGTTCACACCCATCTGTAACCCTAGTGGCAGGGGATCTGAGGTCCTCTTCTGACCTCTAAGTGCACCAAGAACACTGTTCACAGATGCATGTAGGCAAAAGCTCTTTGGTATAAAAAAATTAAGAGAAAAGCAACTCTACAAATAAAGATAAATTTCTGTGGCATAAATTTGAATGAATGTATACATGGATGAATGAATGAAATGGAGGAAACTTCCTAAGCCCTCAGATTGGATGCCTAGACTGTCATAGATGTGTCTTCAATTCCATCGAATTTTGTCTAAAATGTCCCAGAGGGTGAGAATAATGGACGAGGATTGCACCATGAATTTCCCGTGCTGGACCGGAGCGTGGGAACTGGGTGGAAAGGCTGCTGCGGGATTTGCTGGTGACTATTTCAGGCTCCATTCGGGTACCACAGTCCTAATCCGGAAGTCGTCCGCTGCCGGAAGTGACGCGCGGCTTGGAGCTCGCGGGAAACTCGTCTAGCTGGCTGGCCCACCGGTGGGACTCCAGCTGCCATGAGCCTCTGGGTGGACAAATACCGGCCGTGCTCCCTCGCCCGCCTGGACTATCACAAGGAACAGGCGGTGCAGCTGAGCAACCTGGTGAGCAGACCGGGACGGCAGAGGCCGGCACGTTCCGCCGCTTCCTGAAAAGCCCGCGGAAGAGAGTGAGAAGGCGGGCGCTGCAGGGTTAGGGGGACCCAAAGTGACAAGTTCCCCGGAGTGCTGCTTCTGCTGCCCGGGGTCCCGTGAGCTTGGGGGTGCGGACCTGGCGGAGGCTGCAAACCCCGGTTGTAGGAAGGGCTGGGGCCGACAGGCTCTCGTGCTGCAGGTAGCTAGATGGCGGGCTGATGGAGGGGACAGTGCCCTGCACCCTGTTCGTAGTTACCAGCCTCTTCGGAATCACAGCTAAGTCCTTTCTGAAAACGAGGACTTATTTTACCTAGTGCCTCTATCCTCCATATGAGAGTTTTTGGAAGAATCGGGAGGGAAGTGGAAGATATGTTTTAGTTGTCTTTTTTGTTGTTGTTCTTATAATGCGTGCAATAATATAAAAATCGAGCATTATACTTCATGTGTCTGCACACCGGTTTTTACAGTAGCTTCAAGGTTAAGTTTCCTAGCCATAGGATGGACACATTTTATTGATTCCTGTGGCTACTTGTTTATATTCTTAGGACAGGGGTTAGTATACTATTCCTACGCCTTAATGAATTTACTTTTAAAGTCTACATCTTCTCATCGGATCAAGCCCCCATGCCCATAGTGCCCTTTAGTTTGATGTCATTGTCTTATTGCTGTTTGATAACACACTCTTTCCCATAGCATCCCTTATGTGCAGTCTTCCTGTACCCTACAAATGAACTTGCAAGGGAATCAGTGTACCCCCTTCTTAGCAAGAAAATCATTTTGGGAACCCAGGCAAGACAAGCATCTATCTGAGTTACAGAGATCAGTTCCACATTCCCATCAGCCCTCATTTTTGAAAGTGCCCTTCAGAGAGCTTGCTGAGGGAGTTCCTGCCTTTAAGCATTTAGTGTTGTGCCTTGCATGTTCTGTGTTGTTCGTGCAAGTTAGATTAAATTAGTGCCCAGAGAAAGCAAACATGAGAGTTTGATGAATTTTCTATTGGAGTCGGATAGTAAACAAAATTCCTTAGTGCTTTAGAAGTAGTTTAACCTGGAGCACCTGGGTTCGACAAAGTAAAATGCCTTGTTCTTTCTTCGCTAGGTGCAGTTTGGTGACTTTCCTCACCTCCTAGTATATGGGCCATCAGGTGCTGGAAAAAATACAAGAATTATGTGTATCCTACAAGAACTTTATGGTGTCGTGGTGAAAAAATTGAGATTTGAGCTCAACCTATCACAGTAAGCATCTCTTGTCAGGGCTCGGCAGATGTTTCTGGCAAGGACTTTCTTTTCTTTTTTTAAATACTTTATTTTATGGAGCTATAAAGTTTTCTCTGCTCTTCTCCAAGCTTCTTCCTTCCCCTTCAACCCTCTCCTATGGTCCCCATGCTTCCAATTTATTCAGGAGATCTTGTCTTTTTCTACTTCCCATGTAGATTAGATCCATCTGTGTCTCTCTTAGGGTCCACATTGTTGTCTAGATTCTCTAGGATTGTGAATTGTAGTCTGGGTTTCCTTGCTGTATATCTAAAAGTCATTTATGAGTGAGTACATATAGTTGTCTTTCTGGGCCAGGGTTACCTCAATCAATATGATATTTTCTAGATCGATCCATTTGCCTGCAAATTTCAAGATGTCACTATGTTTTTCTGCTGGTAGTACTCCATTGTGTCAATGAACCACATTTTCCTTATCCATTCTTCAGTCAAGGGGCATTTAGGTTATTCCCAGGTTCTAGCTATGACAAACAATGCTGCTATAAACATAGTTGAGCATATGTCCTTGTGGCATGATTGAGCATCCTTTGGATATATACCCAAAAGTGGTATTACTGGGTCTTGAGAAAGGTTGTTTCCTAATTTTCTGAGAAATTGCCACACTGACATCCAAAGGGGCTGTACCAGCTTGCATTCCCACCAGCAATGCAGGAGTGTTCTTTTTTCTCCAGAACCTCTCCAGCATAAGTTGTCATCAGTGTTTTTTATCTTGGCCATTCTTACTGGTATAAGATGGAATCTCAGAGTTGTTTTGATTTGCATTTCTCTGATGACTAAGGATGTGGACCATTTTCTTAAGTATCCTTCAGCCATTTTAGATTCTTCTGTTGAGAGTTCTCAGTTTAGGTCTATACTCCATTTTTTTTATTAGATTATTTGTTCTTTTGATGACCCATTTCTTGCGCTTTTTGTTTATTTTGGAGCTTAGACCTCTATCTGATGTGGGGTTAGTGAAGATCTTTTCCCATTCTGTAGGCTGTCGTTTTGTCTTGTTGACCATGTGCTTTGCTTTACAGAAGCTTTTCACTTTTAGGAGGTCCCATTTAATTAATTGTTTTTCTCAGTGTTTGTGCTCCTGGGGTTATATTTAAGAAGTGGTCTCCTGTGCCAATGCATTCGAGTGTACTACCCATTTTCTCTCCTATGAGGTTCAGTGTGGCTGGCTTTATGTTGAGGTCTTTGATACATTTGGACTTGAGTTTTGTGCAAGTTTTTTGGTGATAGATATGGGTCTATTTTCATTCTTATATAAGTTGATAGCCAGTTATGCCAGCACCATTTGTTAAGTATGCTTTCTTTTTTCCATTTGATATTTTTTGCTTCTTAGTCAAAAATCAGGTTTTTGTAGGTGTGTGAATTAATATCCATGTCTTCGATTCGGGTTTATTGGTCTGCCTGTCTATTTTAATGCCAACACCAGGCTGTTTTTAGTACTGTAGCTTTGTAGTAGAGTTTGAAGTCAGGGATAGTGATGCCTCCAGAAGTTCTTTTATTGTACAGGATTGTTTTGGGTCTCCTGGATTTTTTGCTTTTCCATATGAAGTTGAGTACTGTTCTTTCGAGGTCTGTGGACAATTTTGCTGGGATTTTGATGGGCATTGTATTGAATCTGTAGATTGCTTTTGGTAAGATTACTATTTTTACTATGTTAATTCTACCTACCCAAGAACAGGGAAGATCCTTCCACTTTATGGTGTCTTCTTCAAGTTCTTTATTCAAAAATTTAAAGTTTTTATCTAACAAGTCTTCCTTAGAGTTATCCCGAGATATTTTATGCCATATGTGGCTATTGTGAATGGTGATATTTGATTCTCTAATTTTTTTCGACCCATTTATCTGTATAAAGGAGGGCTATTGATTTTTTGAGTTAATCTTGTATTCTGCTACATTACTGAAAATGTTTATGAGTTGTAGAAGTTCATTGGTAGAATTTTTGGAGTCGCTTATGTAAGCTATCATATTATCAGCAAATAGTGAGAGTTTGACTTCTTTTCCAGTTTGTATCCCCTTGATCTCCTTTTTTTTTGGTCTTATTACTCTAGCTAGAACCTCAAGAACTATATTGGATAGATATGGAGAGACTGGAAAACCTTGTCTTTTCCCTGATTTCAGTGGGATTTTTGGTAGTTTCTCTCCATTTAGTTTGATGATGACTGTTTGCTTGCTGTATATTGCCTTTATTATGTTTAGTTATGTCCTTTGTATTTTTTTTTGAAAGCTATTTCAGCATCAAATGAGATGACCATGTGTTTTTTATTTTTCAGTTTGTTTATGTAGTGGATTCCGTTGACAGATTTTTGTATGTTGAACCATCCCTGCATATCTGGGATGAAGCTGATTTGAATATGGTGGATGATGGTTCTGATGTGTTCTTGGATTCGATTTGCCAGTATTTTATTGAGTATTTTTGCATCAATGTTCATGAGTGAGTTTGGTCTGTAATTCTCTTTCTTAGTATTGTCTTTCTGTGGTTTGCGTATCAGGGTAACTGTAGCCTCATAAAAAGAACTTTGCAATGTTCCTTCTGTTTCTATGGTGTGGAGTCATTTGTGGCGTATTGTTGTTATTTCTTTGAAAATCTTGTAGAATTCTGAGCTGAAACCATCTGGTCCTGGACCTTTTTTGGTTGGGAGACTTTTGATGACTGTTTTTAAATTTCTTTAGCAGTTATAGGTCTGTTTAATTTGCTTATCTGGTCTCGGTTTAATTTTGGTAAGTGATTATTTATCCAGTAAGTTGTCCATTTCCTTTAAGTTTTCTAATTTTGTGGAGTACAGGTTTTTGAAATATGACCTAATGATTCTCTGGATTTCCTCCATGTCTGTTGTTATGTCCCTCCTTTCACTTCTGATTTTGATAATTTGGATATTTTCTCTCTGTCTTGTGGTTAGTTTCGATAAAGGTTTGTCTGTTTTGTTTATTTTTCTCGAAGAACCAACTCTTTGTTTTATTGATTTTTGTATTGTTTTCTTTGTTTTTATTTTGTTCATTTTTGCTCTTAATTTGATTATTTCTTGCCATCTAGTTCTCTTAGGTCAGTTTGCTTCTTTTTCTTCTAAAGTTTTCAAATGTTCTTTTAATTTACTAGTGTGAGATTTTTCCAGCTTCTTTATGTAGGCATTTATGAACATTCCTTTTAACACTGCTTTCATTGTGTTGCATAAATTTGGGTATGTTGTGCCATCATTTTCAATAAATTTTAGGAAGTCTTTAATTTTTTTATTTCTTCCTTGACCGAATGATGGTTAAGGTGAGCGTGGTTTAATTTCCTTGTGTGTGGGGGCTTTCTGGAATTAGTGTTGCTGTGGAATTCTGATTTTAAGCCATGGTGATCCAATAAGACATCTGGGGTTATTCCAATTTTTTTTTTTTTATCTGTAGAGGTTTGTTTTGAAACCTAGTATGTGGTCAATTTTTGAGAAAGTTCTACAAAGTGCTGAGAAGAAGGTATATTCTTTTATGTTTGGACTGAATTTTTCTATAGATGTCTGTTAAGTCCATTTGAATCATAACATCTGTTAGTTCCCTTATTTCTTTGTAAATTTTTTGCCTGGCAGACATGTCTAGTGGTCAGAGTGGAGTGTTGAAGTCTCCCACTATTAGTGGGTGGGGTTTAATGTATGATTTAAGATTTAGAAGTGTTTCTTTTACTTATAATGGTACTCTTGTATTCAGGGCATAGGTGTTCAGTACTGAGATTTCCTCTTGATAGATTTTTTTTTTTTGACAAATATGAAATGTCCTTCTTGGTCTCTTTTGATTGATTTTATTTAGAAGTCTATTTAGTTAGATATTAGGATAGCTATACAAGCTTGTTTCTTCAGTCTATTTGATTGAAATTTTTTTTCCCAACCCTTTAGTTTGAGGTGATGTCTGTCTTAGAGGTTGGGGTGTGTTTCTTGTATGTACAGAAGGATGGATTATGTTTTTATTCAATCTGTTAACCTGTGTCTCTTTATAGGACTTTATAGGACTATATGGACTTTTTAGGTTAGTTGAGTCTGTTTATATTAAGGTATATTAACAACCAGTGATTGCTAACACCTGCTATTTTAGTTTTCTTTGGTGGAGATGTTATTTTGTATCCCTCAGTGGTCCCAGAATCATGCCCGAACCTGCAGAGGTCTCTGTTTCCTGCCCACTCCATTGGAGGTCCCAGATTCATACCCCGACCCTCAGAGTTCCTGTCTCAGGACCAGTTTCTGGGAGGTCCCAGATTCACACCTGGACCTGCAGGGATTCTGGCTCAGGTTTACTCCATCAAAGATCTCAGACTCACTCCCAGTCCTGCAGAGGTCACTGATTCCTACCTATCTCCTCGTAGGTCCCAGACTCATTTCCTGAACCCTTAGAGGTCTCTGGCTCTGGCACACTCCCTCAGTGGTTGCTCCGGTTGCTCTGCTGTACCTGCTCCTGTGGAGTTCACTGTCTCAGGTCTGCTCTGGCCTAGGTCGCTGGCTCTGTCCTGCTCCAGTAGAGTTTGCCATCCCAGGTCCACTCCAGCCCAGGTTGCTGACTCAGTCCTGTGCTTATGAAGTTAGCTGTCTCAGGTCTCCCTGGCAAGGATTTTCAGTTCTGGTCAGATATGCACCCCTCCCCAACACTGGCTGCCTATGACTTAAGAAAGAGTGTGTGTGTGTGTGTGTGTGTGTGTGTGTGTGTGTGTGTGTAGTATGCATAGATCAGTTCATCAGATAAAACAGACATTCACAGTGTCGTCAAAGTGAAAATCCACAAAAGTAATTTGCTGTAGCACATGCATACTTTTGTTTTATTGAGAAAAAGGAAAAAAAAGTTTCCTCCTTCTCCCAGCCTCCCATTTCCCTCCCCCTCCTCCCACCCTTGTCCCCCTCCCCCCACTCCTCTCCCCCTCCCTCTCCAGTCCAAAGAGAAGTCAGGGTTCCCTGCCCTGTGGAAAGTCCAAGGTCCTCCCCGCTCCGTCCATGTCTAGGAAGGTGAATATCCAAACTGGCTAGTCTCCCACACAGCCAAAACATGAAGTAGGATCAAAACCCCATGCCATTGTCCTTGGCTTCTCATCAGTCCTCATTGTTCGCCATGTTCAGAGAGTCCGGTTTTATCCCATGCTTTTTCAGTCACAGTCAAGCTGGCCTTGGTGAGCTCCCAATAGATCAGCCCCACTGTCTCACTGGGTGGGTGCACCCCTCCTGGTCCTGACTTCCTTGCTCATCTTCTCCCTCCTTCTGCTCCTCATTGGGACCATGGGAGCTCAGTCCAGTGCTCCAGTGTGGGTCTCTGTCTCTATCTCCATCCATCACCAGATGAAGGTTCTATGGTTATATGCAAGATAATCGTCAATATTGCTATAGGATAGGGCCGTTTCAGGTTCCCTATCCTCATCTGCCCAAGGAACTAACGGGGACATTGCCTTGGGCTCCTGGGAGCCACTCTAGGTTCAAGTCTCTTGCCAGCCCTAAGGTGGCTCCCTTAACTAAGAATTGTGCTTTCGTGCTCCCCTATCCAGCCTTCCTTTATCCCAATCATCCTGTTTCCCCAAGTTCCCCCCATCTTCCCCTTCTCACTTTTCTCTCCCCATCTCCCCTTACCCCCATCCCACCCCACCCCCAAGATTCCACTTTTCTCCCCGGCAATTTTGTCTACTTCCCATAGCCAAGAGGATAACTATAAGTTTTTCCTTGGGTTCACCTTCTTATTTAGCTTCTTTAGGTTCACCAATTGTAGACTCCGTGACCCTTATTTATGGCTAGAACCCAATTATGAGTGAGTACATCCCATGTTCATCTTTTTGGGTCTGGGTTACCTCACTCAGGATAGTGTTTTCTATTTCCATCCATTTGCATGCAAAATTCGAGAAGTCATTGTTTTTTACAGCAGCGTAGTACTCTACTGTGTATATATTCCACACTTTCTTCATCCATTCTTCCATTGAAGGGCATCTAGGTTGTTTCCAGGATGTGGCTATTACAAATAATACTGCTATGAACATAGTTGAACAAATGCTTTTGTCATATGATCGGGCATCTCTTGGGTATTTTCCCAGGAGTGGTATTGCTGGGTCCAGGGGTAAGTTGATCCCGAATTTCCTGAGAAACCGAAACACTGATTTCCAAAGTGGTTGCACAAGATTGCATTCCCACCAGCAATGGATGAGTGTACCCCTTCCTCCACAGCCTCTCCAGCAAAGGCTATCATTGGTGTTTTTGATTTTAGCCATTCTGACAGGTGTAAGATGGTATCTCAAAGTTGTTTTGATTTGCATTTCCCTGATTGCTAAGGAAGTTGAGCATGACCTTAATTGTCTTTTAGCCATTTGAACCTCTTCTGTTGAGAATTCTCTGTTCAGTTCAGTGCCCCATTTTTTAATTGGGTTAATTAGGATTTTAAAGTCTAGTTTCTTGAGTTCTCTATATATTTTGAAGATCAGACCTTTGTCTGTTGCAGGGTTGGTGAAGATCTTCTCCCAGTCAGTAGGTTGCCTTGTTGTCTTAGTGACAGTGTCTTTGCTTTACAGAAGCTTCTCAGTTTTAGTAGGTCCCATTTATTCAATGTTGCCCTTAATGTCTGTGCTGCTGGGGTTATACCTAGGAAGTGATCTCCTGTGCCCATATGTTGTAGGGTACTTCCCACTTTCTCTTCTATCAGGTTCAGTGTGTTTGGACTGATATTGTGGTCTTTAATCCATTTCGACTTGAGTTTTGTGCATGGTGATAGATATGGGTCTATTTTCATTCTTCTAGAGGTTGACATCCAGTTGTGCCAGCACCATTTGTTGAAGATGCTTTCTTTCTTCCATTGTATACTTTTAGCTTTTTTTTTTTTGTTTTGTTTTGTTTTGTTTTGTTTTTCAAGACAGGGTTTCTCTGTGGCTTTGGAGCCTGTCCTGGAACTCGCTCTGTAGACCAGGCTGGTTAGCTTCTTTATCGAAAATGAGGTGTTCATAGGTTTGTGGGTTAAAATCCAGGTCTTTTATACAATTCCATTGGTCAACTTCTCTGTTTCTCTTTATAGGACTTTATAGGACTATATAGACTTTTTAGGTTAATTGAGTCTATTTATATTAAGGAATATTAACAACCAGTGATTGCTAACACCTGTTATTTTAGTTTTCTTTGGTGGAAATGTTATTTTGTATCCTTTTCCCTTCTTTGGGATTTGCTGCTGTGAGATCTTCTATTGTCTGTGTTTTTGTTGATGTAGCCAAATTCCTTGGATTGGAGTTTTCCTTCTCCTACTTTGAGTAGTGCTGGATTTGTGGTATTAATTCTGGTTCTGTCATGGAATATCTTGTTTTGTCCTTTTGTGGTGATTGAAAGAAAGTCTTGCTGGGTATAGTAGTCTGGGGTGGCAACTGTGGTCTCTTAATATCTATCTATCTATCTATCTATCTATCTATCTATTGTGTATACAATATTCTGTCTGTGTGTGTCTGCAGACCAGAAGAGGGCATCTTAATATCTGCATAACTCTTGACCAGGTCCTTCTGACTTTCATTGTCTCCATTGAGAAATCAGGTGTAATTCTGATAGATCTGCCTTATATGTTACTTGCCCTTTTTCCTTAGCAGTCTAAAAATTCCTTCTTTATTCTGTATGTTTAGTGTTTGATTATTTTGTGGTAAGGGAATTATTTTTTTATCCAATCAGTTCAGTGTTCTTTAAGCTTCTTGTATCTTCATAGGCATAACTTTCTTTAGGTTGGAAATGTTTTCTTCTATGATTTTGTTAAATATATTTTCTGTGCTTCTGAGTTGGACTTCTCCTTCTTCTGTACCTATCATTCTTAGGTTTGGTCTTTCCGTGTGTCCCATATTTCCTGGATATTTTGTGTTAAGCTTTTGTTAGATTTAATGCTTTTTTTTTTTTGAGTGGTGAGTCTGTTTCCTCTATTGTATCTTTAGTGCTTGAGATCGTCTTTTCCATCTCATGTAATCTGATATTTATGCTGATTTGTGATTCCTGATCTTTTTCTCATGATTTCTGTTTCTCTAATTCCTCAACTTGTGTTTTCTTTGTTGTGTCTATTTCAGTTTTCAAGTCTTGAATAGTTTTTTTCATATGTTTGATTACTTTTTCTTGGTTTTCTTTACGGCATTTGTTGATGTCTTCCAATTTTTTTGTTTGTCTTTTTCTCCATTTCTTTGAGGGAATTTCTCATTTCCTCTTTAATGGCCTCAAACATTCTCCTGAAGTTATTTTTTAGGTCATTTTCTTCTACTTCATCTATATTTGTTTGTTCAAGTCTTGCTGTTATAGGATCACTAGGTTTTACTGGTGATGTGCTGCTCTTTGTGGTATTGTGTGTTCTTACCTTGTCTACTCATCTTTTACTCTGATTGGTGTAGTTGGGACTGTCTGTGGCTCTGGTGATCAATCTTCCAGGTTCCAGTAGATGCAAGGCTCAGGTGGTTGTTCCTTGTGGTGCAGTCAGTGCCACAGGTTTCAGTCACCCTGTTAGTCACTCTGTGTTTCCTAGGTTGCTCAGTGCGCCCATGGTTTGCTCCACTACTATGGAGTCGCTGTCTCAGGCCTGCTCTTGCCTAGGCTCCCGGCTCAGCTCTGTTTCTATAAATGTCCCTTGTTTGGATCTGATCCTGTCGAGGTCTCTGACTTGGGATTGGTTCTGCAGAGGTCCTGACTTAGGCCTACTCCCTCGGTGGTCCCAGAATCATGCCCGAACCTGCAGAGGTCTCTGTTTCCTGCCCACTCCATTGGAGGTCCCAGATTCATACCCCGACCCTCAGAGTTCCTGTCTCAGGACCAGTTTCTGGGAGGTCCCAGATTCACACATGGACCTGCAGGGATTCTGGCTCAGGTTTACTCCATCAAAGATCTCAGACTCACTCCCAGTCCTGCAGAGGTCACTGATTCCTACCTATCTCCTCGTAGGTCCCAGACTCATTTCCTGAACCCTTAGAGGTCTCTGGCTCTGGCACACTCCCTCAGTGGTTGCTCCGGTTGCTCTGCTGTACCTGCTCCTGTGGAGTTCACTGTCTCAGGTCTGCTCTGGCCTAGGTCGCTGGCTCTGTCCTGCTCCTGTAGAGTTTGCTATCCCAGGTCCACTCCAGCCCAGGTTGCTGACTCAGTCCTGTGCTTATGAAGTTAGCTGTCTCAGGTCTCCCTGGCAAGGATTTTCAGTTCTGGTCAGATATGCACCCCTCCCCAACACTGGCTGCCTATGACTTAAGAAATAGTGTGTGTGTTTGTGTGTGTGTGTGTGTGTGTGTGTAGTATACATAGATCAGTTCATCAGATGAAACATACATTCACAGTGTCGTCAAAGTAAACATCCACAAAAGTAATTTGCTGCAGAACATGCATACTTTAAGTTGATACATGGCCGTCATCTCACACCAGTTGTCTGAGAGGGATTGCAGAGACACATTTTTAAGTGGAAGGAGTAAAACAGGTGTGCATGAGATTTCCTCTATGTTATTATTTGCCGTGGAACATGAATATATTTTTCCTTTATTTCTGTGTTAACATGGAAGACTGTTCAGGTAGTTAGTGGTGATTGGTTATACCTGAGAAAAAGAAGATAGCCAGTAAGAAAATGTTGAGCAGATTCTTGTTTCATTCACAGACTCCATCTAAAAAAAAAAAATGAAATCAGCACCATTGCCAGAAACTACCACCTTGAAGTTAATCCTAGGTAAACTGCTACTAAATATTTTTAGAAAAGTAGTAGGAATTACATTTTTAGCAAAAACAAAAAAAAAATAGTTTACCCTCCTTGTCCTCCAGCTTAGAGTTATTTTTTGAAATATTGCTGTACGTTTGGAAGCTTGGTCCACAGAGCAGATTAGAGTAAAGCTGGTTGCTTGACCCATAGCCTGTGCTGTCACTGAAGTCTGATCGCTCTGCAGAGCTCATAGTTTGCAGTTCCTTGCATGAGTTCTGTTGAGCTATCCTGACTCTTTCAGTGTTGGTGAGCATAAACAAAGCTGTCTAAAAAGTCAATCCTGTCTGGAATAAGTATCAGATACTGAATGTGGGCTCCCATCCTTCCTTGGTATATTTTTTGTTTTGTTGAGTTCCAGGGATGCAGCTGCCTCTGTTTCTCCAGCTCTGAGTTTTATGACCATCTTTTTACATGGTTTCTGGAGCTCAACTCAGGTCTTCATGCTCCAAAGTTAGATTAGCATGTTTGTCCATTACATTTATGGTTACGTGAAAAGTAATTATTTTCTTAAAACTGAATTCAATGTGATTATTTTCTATTGACCATCTTTAACAAAACATAAAAAAAAAAATAATAGGCTTTTTTGTAGGGTTTGAAAGTAGGAGGCCAGAGAGGGTTTTTCTATGTTTGGGGCTTAGGTGTTTCTGTGTTTTTTCTTCAGAAAGTCGGGACCCATATTTCCTAACACTCTACATTCTTGTCCTTGTCTCTCCTATTCTGCTCACTCTGCTCCCACTGCTGGGCTCTGCATGGAGCATCCTCTTAGCAGGAAGTGCCTTTGTTCCAGAACCTCCTACTTGCTCCATTCCCACTGTGTCAGGGTCCCATGTTCTCAGTCACAGATTGGGCCCTGTGGGGCCTGCTCCTGCTTATGGCTTCTGCATTCACACTGGCTGTGATCCTGTGTGTCCTGTGGGCAGTCTGTGGTTTCACATTCTCACAGCTTGGACAAGTGTTGTGGATTCCTCTTTTCACTCCCACTCAGGCATGATGTGTCTTTGTCTTTGTTCTTTTTATGGAAGTGGGAATGGAGTTTGACTTACACATTGATGTTGTTTGGATTCACCCCCTGCCTACTCACAGTTTCTGAACCACTTAGGGCTGACTGGTCCTCGATTGCAGCTAGATGCAATTTTCCTGTATGTCTTCCCAGATTCTCCTGTTGACTGTACCCATTGGCTATGACTCTTGCATCAGAGATTTCCAAAGTATTAACAAATTCCTTGAGTTTATAGCATAGATCAGCACATCCTTGTCTTGCAACTTTGTTATGATAAAAGCTGAGATGAAGTGACAAGTCCTAATTTAACTTCATTTTCACCAGGGTTTCTTAGTCTTGTTTGATTATAACATTTTAAAACATATGATTCTGCCCTTTGCGGAGGTGAAAGTAGAATATCAGCCATCTATTTAGGACGTCACACCTATTAATGAGGACACAGTAAAGGCAGATGGTGACTTAACGCTTGAGTGCCCTCCAGTTGAAGCTGGTTTGTTTCTTTTTGACCCAGTGGTTTTATTGACAGAGGTGGACAAACTCAGAAAGGATGCTCAGCATGACTTGCACAGTACCATGGAGAAGTACATGTCCACCTGCAGGCTGATCTTGTGTTACAATTCCACATCTAAGGTGATCTCCCCGATCTGCCATGGGTGCCTGGCAATTTGTGTGCCTGCTCCCAGCATTGATGACGTAAGTCATGTTAAGCTTTCCAGAAATATCTTAGCTCAAATTTTGTTTTCTAAAACAAGGTGAAGCATATCAGCCATTTAAGGGCAGCTGCAGACAGACCCAAAGGTCAGCCATTAGTTAGGTGTACAGAGTGATGTGTAAATACAAACATAAAACATGTTCTCTTGCATCTATCTTTTAACATATGAGTGTTATGAATTCAGTGCATAAGTCTGATGAAGTATTTAATGTCTTTTACCTTAAGCTGATTTAGTTTGTCATAGGGGAAATGGGAGCATAAGGGATGTAGAGAACGTGAGAATCCCTGGTTCCTTTGTGGGAGTCAGTGCACTGTTTTCCCTTTCATCTTAACAGCTGTCAATAACATGTACTAGATTCTCCCAGTAGACAGCGTTCACCATAATAGACAGTGAAGACTGTACAGCAGCAGCACATGGCGTCCTGTAGGAGGCAGAAGCACTGTGAAAGGCTCCACAGCGATGCGGACAGATGTTAGACATTGTTTCCTCCTTGTTGATTTGTCTTCCAGATTTGCAGTGTGTTATCCAGTGTCTGCAAGAAGGAGGATCTGGCTCTTCCTTCGAAACTGGCTCACAGGCTGGCAGAGAAGTCCTGCTGGAACCTCAGGAAAGCCTTACTGATGTGTGAAGCTTGCAGAGTGCAGCAGTGAGTGGGGCCGTCACACAGGGAGCATCTGGAGCATGACGATGTGCGGTTAATGTATTTTCTCTTGTGTCATAGATACCCTTTTACTGAAGACCAAGAAATCCCCGAGACAGACTGGGAGGTGTATCTGAGGGAGACTGCAAATGCTATCGTCAGTCAGCAGACTCCACAGAGGTAACAGCATGAGGGAGGCACATGACATTTACAATAATTCCCGAGCATTAGTGTGGGAGGTCCTTCTGTCTATATGTTGCTTTTATTGGTTAATGAATTAAGAAATTGGCTTGGCCTGATAGGGCAGAGGAGAACTAGGTGGGGAAAACTAAATGGAATGCTGGGAGAAAGAAGGGCAGATTGGAGAGAAGCCATGTAGCCTCTGGAGCCAGATGGAACTTTTCCCGGTAAGTCACAGCCTCGAGGCGATACACAGATTAGTAGAAATGGGTTAAATTAGTATGTGGGAGTTAGCTAGTAAGAAGCTAGAGCTAATGGGCCAAGCAGTGATTTGATTAATGCATCTTCTGTGTGATTATTTCGGGGCTAAGTGGCAGGGAACTAACTAGCGGCCTCCTGGCAACAGAGCCTCATTTGAAAGAGGAAAAAATTGCATGTAAGACTTGAAATATAGTGAACCTAAGTAGTTAGTATGTATAGTTTATGCTTTTCTTTAATATGTTAGCATGTAAAATTGAACTTTTTTCATCTCTTAACCCCCCCCCCCAAGAAAGTCTCTTAGTTTTATTGCACAGCATAAAGTGCCTAGTGTGCTCAGGCTGAAAGAACAATTGTCGTTGTTGTAATTGCTTTGTAATTGATGCGGAATGTGCTAGAAAGACACTGAGCTTCCAGCTTGAGAGCTAACTTAGCCAAATGTTTCTCTCTTGGAGATACTGTTTGTTGTCCTGCCAAGGGCACTTGTGCTTTGGTACAGAGATCAAAGAGATTGTACGTTGTGGGTCCAGAACTGCAAGTCACTGCTCATGCCCAAGGACAGGATCTGTGGTGAGAAATACGAAGTACTTAGAAAGCATCGTTGTGCCACACTCCAAAGCTGTTTCCTTTCTGTGGGTTTCTTACTCAGTAGTGGACAGGACTGAAATGTCTCAGCCACTAGTTGTTTCTTTTATGGCAGCTGAACTAAGACAGGCTCCATAGCTCTGAATAAACACGACAGTTTTGAGGTCCCCTGCTGTTGCAGTGTGGCATTTCCTCAGCCTCACTGAAGCACAGCCTCATCCTTGCCCGTCACAGCTGAGAAGCAAGCTGCCTTGAGCCCTAGGGGGAGTAGATCATTTTTAGGGTGCAGAATAGACTTGAGTGCAGCCATGAGAGCCTGAGCGTCCGTGGTTTAGATGAAAACAGTGGTGAGAGGAGTGTGTGATTCTAGGTAGCTCTCTGATGAGTTAGGGTTCGGGAGATTCTTCTGTCAGTTAGTGCACGTGGTTAGTGAGACCTTGTGCTGCTGCTGTGCTGAACTCTATGTGACAAAGAGAGGAGTTTGAACCTGTGCTTTTAAGAGAGAACGTCTAAATCCCTGTCTTGATTCACCTGCAGTGGAGCATCTGCAGTAGCTTATTCAGAACCCTGGACAGTTGTTTTTTTCTTGGTAATGCATTGTAGAAAGACAAAGACAGTTGTTTTCTGAGTTTAGGGAATATCGTTATTTATTCTTGTTCTGACATGCAGTATGTGCATTTCCGTCCCACCCTCCTGAAAATGCCATGAGGGGAGCCTGAGTTAGGGACTCGGGTTTGCACTCGTATTGGCTTATCCTGGTTGTGGTTATCCGGGAGCTCTGCCTGTCCCTTCTGTGAAGGTCAGCTTTGTGTCCCTGCTTTAGTTTATAGACTAGGTTCATACTTCATGCTGACATTACCTCATCTCTTGTGTGGTTGACTGGAGACAGGCCAGTCTTTTCACAGCCTCTCTGTAGATACTTTAAGCATAAAATTCTAAGCTGCATAAACAGTACTTGATTCATCAGTAGAGTGAGTGTATTTAGTTTCTGGTGTGAACGAGCTCAAGTTCCACATTTCAAGTTCTTGATTTCTTTTTTTTTTCTTTTTAATTTTTATTTTTCTGCTTATTTGGGTGTGTGTGTGTGTGTATGTGTGTCCATGTTTGTGTTTACTCGCATGTACTTGCTCATAAGCGCACACAGCCATAAGTGTGTCTCCGTAGAGATCAGAGGACGGCTTCCAGGAATCATTTTGGCCCTTCACCATGGGTTCTTGGCAATCAGACTCAGGTTATTAGATTTGTAATTCAAGCAGATTACCTCTCAAACCATCTCTTAGGCCCCTGAAGTCTTGATTTCTCTTCAGTACTATTGTGAGTGATACAATGAGGAGCCCTTATTATAAATACCTACTGTTAAAATGTATGGAAAAAAGCTTTCAAAAACTGAACTGGTCCTTGGCCCTGGTGGATTATCCTAGGAAGCTGAGGCAGAAAGAGTGCTACCAATTCAAAGCTGGCATGAGCTACATGAGGCCCAGGCGAGTTGGGCTACAGAAAGAGACTGTTTGAGAAGACGCTGAAGTGGGTGTACTGGGGCTGTCTCTCATTGGTACAGCACAAGTCAGGCAGCTTCTGTCTACAGCTGGGTGATAAATCAAGTAAGAAACTTGACCTTACCAGCTGGGTCATTAAAATTGTTCCTTTTTTATCACAAAGTGCCAATTCCTTTTTTTTTTTTTTAGGCCCCTTGAAGTCCACTGGAGGCTCTATGAGCTTCTCACTCACTGTATTCCTCCTGAGATGATAATGAAGGTAAGTGGCCCTGTTTGACATCTTGAACATTCCTAGCTATAACCTGACACCAGTCCTGTGATCACAGTGCTTTTGTAATGCTAAGGTACATCATCATCAGTTTTAGCATTTCAGTAATTCTACAGATGCAGTCTTCCTATGTGCCAGGCACCCTTAGGGGACCACAGAAGACAGGAGGGAATACCTCAGTTGTGATGCTGTGTTCATGGGAGACAAGTGAAGAATATTTCATAATGCTTTGAGTCTTTAAAGAAAGGAAGGTGAAATAATAATAATAAAGAGCCGAGTTATGCACAGCCATGGTCGGCTGCTCAGGGAAAGGTTTTTTCCAGCTGACACTCAGCACTAAGGATGGAACTGTATAAGTGGATGGGAAACCGGTGTTCCAGGAAAGACGTGGTGTACGTGGAGAAATGAGGCCGAGGATGTAGGTCCAGTCTAGACTTTGTAGGATCACTCTGCTGGCTGCTTAGCTAAATTTACTGATTTCAGGTATTAGGGAATTTGCAGTTTGATTCTATTGAAATTGCACAGTAATGTGAACAAACTCACATGATACGAAATTCACAAAAGAACAATGTTGTCTTCCATATACAGTGTTAATGCTTTGAATAGACTTGTTCTTTTTACCTAGTAACAAGTGCTGTGTGTGTATGTGCGTGTGTGTGTACTTTATTGGTACAACTTTAAATTGTTATTAATGAATACGACAGTAACTCTCTTGGTTCTTAGGTCCTTGTACCCTTGTGCAAATGTACACAGCTTCTCTCAACTTATGAGGGTTTTTTCTTTTTTTTTTTTTTTCTCCTGATAAACCTTTAATAAGTTGAACATGTCATGCAAATGACGTAGCCAGATCTGGTGGCCACTTGGATGAGGTAGGAGGATTTCTTGAGCACATCAGCCTGGGCCACAGTGAGACCTTGTCTGAAAGAACAGAAGAGCATTTAGTGCATCTGACTTACCCATCAGACAGCACAGGTCAGTGATAATGTGCTGTAGATATGGACTGTCGCCACAATGATCATGTGACTGGTGTGATTCCCTACATGGTGCCACGGTCTCAAGAGAATGTTATATTGCATATCTCTAGCCTGGAAAATGATCAAAATCTAAGATACAATTTACTTTTTTAACCATTTATTTTAGTTTTGAGATTATAATATAATTACCCCTTTTCTCTTTCCTCACTCCAATCCATCCCCTTTAAAATTCATGGCTACTTTTTCATTAATTATTTACAAATACACACACACACACACATATTTCTGTGTGTGCACATGTGTATTCCTAAATACATATGTACAATTTGCTCAGTCTGTATAATGTCGGTTATATCAAAATACATTTTCTTCTGCATCTTTCTTCCACATCATCAATAAAGCAAACCAAAACAAAAATCGATCCTTTAATTCAGACTGTTGCAAGGGACTTTCTGTGTTTGGAATTTTGAAAGCCTTGATTAAGTGCCAGGTTTTATTGTATACATGGTGTTTTTGGCTTTGTTGAAAACTGTTGATTCGTACAAAAAAGTAATAGATATATACATATATATATATATATACATATATACATGCATGGCATACAGACATAAAAGCTACATTAAAACTTTTCCTTTATGAGGGAGAGGCATAAGCAAGTTTGGCTATTTTTCCCCCAGACTGCTTTTTAAGTCTCCCTTCCTCCTGTAGGGCCTGCTCTCAGAGCTCTTACACAACTGCGATGGGCAGCTGAAAGGGGAGGTGGCGCAGATGGCAGCCTATTATGAGCATCGACTGCAGCTGGGCAGCAAAGCCATTTATCACTTGGAGGCGTTTGTGGCCAAGTTTATGGCCCTTTATAAGATGTTCATGGGGGATGGACTGGAAGGCATGGTTTTCTGATGCAGCCAGCGGCTCCTCCAAGTGCCTCAGAAGTCGCATTTATGCAGATTTGCTCTGGTACTGTGGGTACAATAAACTTCTTTCTTTACTAAATTGTTATTGTGGGGTTTTTTTTTTGTTTTTAAATGAATACTCTCTGGGCTATTAATCATTTTTATTCATTATTTTTATATGTAAGGGTGTTTTGCTTGCTTGAGTATGTATGCTTGTGTACCATGTTCATAGTTGCTGCCAGAAGAGGGTGCTGGAGCCCCTGGGACTGGAGTTACAGATGTATGGGTGCTGGGTATTGAACGCTGTCCTCTGGAAGAACATGTGGCTTTTGGCCACTAAGCCATTTCTCCAGCCGCTGAACTATAAAAGACTTGCAAAGCCGAAATGATCTTGCCCTTAGTGTTGTGGCGTACTGGGAGAAAGCTGATCCTGTTTTTTGATTTTGTTTTGTTTTTGTTTTTTAAAGGGTATAAATATAGATGGTAGACACTGATATGTCCAGATTCCTGTGACACTTTACAAGGAAATACCCAGAGATTGTTGTACTGAATTCACATAAGCCCTGGCCTTTTTTTGTTTGGGAGCTTTTTTGATGATAGCTTCTATTTCCTTGCAGTTTATAGGTCTATTTAAATTGCTCATGTGGTCTTGATTTAATTTTGGTATATGGTATCTATCTAGAAAATTGTCCATTTCCTTTATATTTTCCAATTTTGTGGAGTGTAGGTTTTTGTAGTATGACCTAATGATTCTCTTGAGATTTCTGTTCATGTTTATGACAGTTTAATGCCAGTGGCTTTTCTTTGTTCTTGTTTGCTTGTTTCTTTGTTTTGGTGTTTAGCTTTTTAGTTCTAAGAATGTTCTTGATTTTTTTTTTCATAATATGGTAGTAGGAATGTTCTAGAATTTCTGTATGATATTTAGCTGGTAATGGTATTTCCCTAATCTTTCCACTGTTTCTTTTTTCAAAATGTTAGTAGTCTCCTATCTATTGAAGGCATTTAGTTTTGCAATGTCTCATTTGTCACTATGTAGTAATAAAGGGCGGCGGCGGGGCTGCGTCCCCAACACCCCACCCGCCTGCCCGGCTAGCTCAGTCGGTAGAGCATGAGACTCTTAATCTCAGGGTCGTGGGTTCGAGCCCCACGTTGGGCGCCAACTGTAGTAATAAGGGGCGGCGGCGCGGCTGCGTCCCCAACACCCCAGCCGCCTGCCCGGCTAGCTTATGCCCCGAAATAATTACACGGACACTGTATTCTTTTAAACACTGCTTGGCCCATTCTCTTCTAGGCTAATTCTCACGTATTAATTTAGCCCATTTCTAATCATCTGTATGTAGCACCCCAAGGTGCGCTTACCGGGGAGATTCTAGCCTGTGTCCATCCTGGGTCGGAGCTTCATGGCGTGCGTCTGCCAGGGAGCAGGGCATGGCGTCTCTCCCAGGTGTCTGCTCCCGAGAGCTGTCGAGTCTCTGAGCTCACTTCCTCTTCCTCCCAGCATTTTGTTCTGTTTACTCCTCCCACCTATCCTCTAACCAATAAAATGGGCCAGGGCAGTGCCTTTATTAGCCAATGACCTTCCTCCATCATCACTGCATCGTCTTAAATACTTTGCTTCAAGGATTCTCTTCAAAACCTCCTCCTTTTGCCTACCATGAAGTTTTTGTTCAATCCGTCTTTATAAGAGAACACTGTAACAACCAACCTAACTTCCCTTGTATTTTCCACTTAATAAGCTGTTGTATCCTAAGCTAATGCACAGGTGAAACCTTAAATTATTTTCTTCCACAATAAATGCTACATACATTATAGAGATTAAATCTTGGTAAACAGTGGTGTTTGTAGCACTGTCTGTTATTGGTATCAGGTGGGGTCAAGTAGAGTCAGTGACTAATCCTTGTGAAATCATTTTAAAGATTTCTGCACAGTATCCCTCAGCCCTTCCTCTTGTGATGCTCCTTGTGCTGTTCAATGAGAGAAAGAGAATAAAGCCCTTGCCATGGACAGATACACAATGAGCCATTACAACACATTATTAAGTCAGCCTACAAAAGGCACAGATTCAGACTCACACATAGGACAGGATAAAAATGGATGACACCTGATGAGTGAATCAGACCGTTTAAATCTGGAGATGCTCCTGGTCAGATGACACAAAGAAGACATGATTTACTGATTTCTCTCCATAGTGCACTGTTGAAGGAGCTGCGGGGCTGCGTTCCTGCCGCCCGGCTCCTGGCTACCTGGCTAGCTTATGCCCCAAAATAATGACACACAAACTGTATTCTTATAAACACTGCTTGGCCCATTTCTATTAATGTGTGTAGCACCTCGAGGTGCACTTACCAGGAAGATTCTAGCCTACATCCATCCTGGGTCAGAGCATCATGACGTCTGCCCTGGAGAGCAGCGGCATGGCGTCTGTCTGAGGCGTCTTACCTCACTTCCTCTTCCTCCCAGCATTCTGTTCTGTTTACTCAACCCACCGATGTTCTAACCTATCAGGGCCAAGCAGTTTCTTAATTAATTAACCAATGATGTTCCTCCATCAGTGCACCTATGCATTATAGGTGACAGTGAGTATTTTAATAATGTGTTTAAACTTATTATTTTGTTTTCCTGTGTGAGAAATGCTAAAGGAACTAAATATTTGTAATATATCTTTACAGAAGACTTGTTGGAAAGAAGGTGTAAGTCAGAAGTTGGGGGTGAATTTTATGTAATCTTCTTATGGATGTTGCAATACACATACACACACAGACACAGACACACACACATACAAGATATATTGTAAAAACGTGTTTTCATGCAATTATGAAAAAATAAATAAAAGAAACTACTGGTAACAGTTAACCTCTTACATGATACTGCCCTGAATTGATCACTAGCGAACAGATATAATTAAAAATCACCTGTATCTTTCAAGCTTGTACAGATACTGTGTAAACCATCTACAAACACTTTAGAAATACGTTCTTAGGTCATTGGGCTCCTTCTTTGCCCATCCCCACAACTTTCATACAGAGCACTTATGTTTCAGTATAAGGATGGGTCCTAAAAGTAGAATCATCACGTGAATTATGGTAAGCACAGTATCTACTTTTTATGCATATCAGTGTATATGAGTCCATAAGAATGTGTCATAGCATACTGGGATAATTAGCTTCATAGTTAATGAACAATGTCTAGTACTGATGCATTTTGAACTCTAATGCTTCCATTAAAAAAAAAACAAAAATAGGTGTTTCACATATGATCTTAATTCTTTATCTTCCATACACCTTCTGATTTATGATAAGTTTATTTTCTGGCTTTATTCACATCTTTCCATTTCCATTTAGAAAACTCTACAGATTTTACCTCTTTACAAAATGTATTTAGTCAGAAAAAGTTTTTTGAACTTCATGGCAGAGAAGCAATAAAAACTGAATATAACAACTCTTTGAATTCATAATTTCTATATTACATTTGTCATATAAAGAAACAAGCTAAAATAATGTGTTTGTAAGTTGTTTGATGTGGGTATTTTGTTTTCAGTACAACTTACATTTTTTATCTAAGACCCTTTCCACAATATTTCTAGTGTCACGGAGTCAGAGACTTAAGGAATGTTAAATTTAAGCAAGTGATGGAGAAGATATGAATTACCAATCTTTTGTGTGGGGAAAATATGGAGAATAAAGCCCAGATGGATGGAGAGAGAGAGAGAGAGAGAGAGAGAGAGAGAGAGAGAGAGAATATATACAGTTTTCATATTTTATTGTTTCCATTGAAGGCAGGACGGACTCCTTTTTCCCATATAGGTCAGAGAACTAGGTATGGGTGAAGAACTCACAATTTTTCTTCCAGCATCTCTAGCCCCTTGAATCTGGGCCATTTATCCCAGAAATAGCCCTCACATTTAGGTCCAATCCAATTGTTTCTCAGTGGTCCTGCTTTTAATTAAGACTGGTAAGTGAGGTTAGGTGAAAGAAATACTGGCCATTCAGGCAGCCCTGGCATTTTAGGCTGCCCAAAAGATTTCTACAGAAATTCTCCAGGTTTTATGTAGGACACTAGAAAAGAAGCAAAGAACCCTGGATACATTAGGTGATACAGAAAGTTTTGACAAAGCAGGATGAATTCTATCATGGTGTTACAGATTATTGTAATGAGGAGGTAAGAGTTTCTGGTTCAGATATATGTAACATGCTAGATAATCTGAAGATAAATATTAGACCATTTTTTCAGAGCTGAGGAACAAACCCAAGGTCTTGGGCTTGCTATGCAAGCACTCTAATAGTGAACTAAAGAACCAACCCCCATTTTTTATGGACATATTTTGAGAAAAGTAAGGAGGAAACAGAGGATTTAAGACTTATAGTAGTTCCTACCAATGTCTGATGCCATCTCATCGACATTCCTAGAATGTATTGAACTGATCTTGTTTCTGTTTTGGGCATATCATAGCATAGAAAGGGGTTTTTAGCATTGAACTCACTAGCCCAAAGACACCCCATTTAATGATTAGTTTGTAATCCTATCAGGAAAGAGGAGATTCAGCAAGTTGATGAAATGAAGTGTAGAGGTACCTGCAGTTGAAAGGTTCAGATGAGGTGGTTCATTCCAGAACGTTAATCAAGAAAAGTCAGAATAAGAAAAATTAAATACAGGAGGAACCCTGACAATATGTGAGCAAAGCCTCTATTTGTTAATGCTTTAATAATTGTCATTACATGTCATCATGGGAGTATAGGAAGTAGTACAATGGGGATCCTTCTTTGAGAAATCAAGCCCACACTTTATATAATATTTTTTAAAGGGTGGTAATATTTATTTTATTACAATTTCAGAGTTTATAATCCATAGTCATGCGGGAGAAGAGATGGGCAGTATATGGTAAATGACAACATATATCCATTCAAGTATGTTCCCTATGATGTTTCCTCCAACTAGATACATCACCTACTTTATTTTTTAGTTTTTATTAAATTTATTTTTAGAACAATCTTTCCTTATTTTATAATAATATCCCAGTTCCCACTCCCTCACCACTTCC